TTTTCAATTCCTCCCCCCTAAAGGTCTTTTTTAAAAATGATTTGTATATTACTTTCAAAGTTTGGCTTGCGATGCATCCAAGCAAAAGTCACTTCCTTTCATTTTTCACATCAAATGTGGTGAGATGATTCGCATCAATCAACAGAAATCCCTTCACTCTCATCCTCTCCCTCCATATTATTGACAATAATATTCATATTCATCCATCTACGCATACATGGAAAACGTTTGTCACACCTTAACAAACCATACAGATTAAGAAATACCCAAGTTTTTATTTTAATGTTCTAACTAATCTTGATGTATCACAAGACGAAAAGCCCTTTTTTAATCATTGCTAGTGTACATTACACTCTGCCCATGATTGAGTATAATACACATTTAGACAATTAATCCTATTGCACCCTAGTTTCCTAGCTATTTTTTCTATTTAATGTTGTTTTTGGATGATCAAAGAAACGAAGAACAAGGACATTTTAACATATGTATCAGAATCTATACCACAATGATGTTAGGTAAATGGGGAGAGATATTCTCTCCAAAATCTAATACTTCAAAGATGTTGATTTTGAATTTGGATCTTAGTTCAGTTGGTTTTAGTTACCCTTAAAGGACAACATCTAACAGATTTAGCGTTTAAATCCTGGCATATACATCCTCTTCTCCTATCTCAACCTGCAACTTCCTTTGTTAAAAAAAAAAATGTTGACTTCGGAATATACAAAGCTTAGGGAAAGCAATTTTTATGAGGTATTGTTAAAATTAAATAAATTTAGAATCTTATAGCAAGCTTGTTTAAAGAACTGATGTATGGGTTGTAGGAAAAACATTTTTTGATATTTGAATACAAGAAATCTATGTTGAAAATTTGTGTTCATGGAGCACAAACTGGAACATACAATAGAAAAATTTAGCAAATGTCCTGTCTCTCCAAGAGGACAAAACTTACACATCTTAGTGATGAAAGTTAGTGAACTATTACATGATATCCATGATTGAGTTTTCAGGGTAGAGAAAAAAAGGGAAAGTAGACGCAATCCAGCTGATGTTGAATAAGTAAGGACCTGAACAAGCTCCACATCCTAACTGAGGCAGCGGTTAAAAAAAAAAAACAATTCATAAAATTAATCAACAAAAGAAAACAATTCATTTTTTATTAACAAGTTTGAAAAGAGTCTAATGGCTATTGAGAAAATTTATGATTAATTTTTAAGTTATGTTAACCCACAAAATATGATTAATTTGAATTCATTTCGATGGGTCTCATCAAGGAGAGTTGTTGTAAATCAAACAACCAATTGGATTGTGTGACATTAAGCATGCTACGTATTGGCATATCTTCCTTTACAATGAACACTATTTTTCTTGTTAATAAAGCAAAAAAGAAAAAAAAAATAGTCAAACAAATTATGAGCATAGACTAATCTGAGTAATATTTACATAATTAAATAGGACATGAACACCCGTAATCTTTTTGCATTTTTTAATGGAGCAACATTGAAGACAGGGGCGGATGCTTACGTAAATTAGATGTGATGCCCTTAATTTTACATTGAAAAAATACGTAAATATGATATGATATATATATAGAGATTTAAATCAAAATCTGTGAGATACTTTTTATAAGATCAAATTATGAAACAAAATTATGAAACATTCGACTCAAAATAGATAATACTTTATAGGTTGAATATAGGTATCAACAAATAGTATCAAAATTGTTACCAGTCGATAGGAACTAAGTGTTACATCATAAGAGTTATTAAGTGCTACACGGTGTATAGCTATATCTAAAATCTTAATATTTGATGTAATATTGATCTTGTAGTTAGATTCAGTTTGACAAAAATGTTAAGTTTTAAAGGTGAAAAAATTGTGATGCCCCTTACCCCATGTTGAAAAAATATGTTGATACGGTATAGTATATATATAGAAATTTAAATCTAAATCTATAAAATATCTTTTATGAAATAAAATCATAAAATTTTTTAGTCAAAACAAATAGTATCTCATCAGTTTGACGTGGATCTCTACACTAGAGAGAGCCTTAGCCCTCTTAAATTTTTAAAATCCCCAATATCAAGAGATAGAAGTAGATGGTTCTATAAGCCAAAAGGGGTATTTGGCCCTTTCAAAATTTTAAGAACAAACAAGTTTGTTAAAAGAATCAAATAATCTATAAGTTATATTCTCAATGTGAATATATTATGTAAAATTGACTCAATTAAACCAATTAATAATATTTTGAAATTCGACTGGCATGTTTGCAAAAGACCAATAAAAAGGTATTGTAAAGTTATTTTTTGGGCGGCTAAAATCATTAATCTATTGAGAGTCACACAAAAAATTTTGTTACCTTAGCTTTGCTTCAGTGTTTATGGTCACGGGTGCATAGCTATCTTATATATTATAGTTTAAGAGAGATTAAAATCATATTACTATTTGTTTATTTCTTGTAACAATCAATTATTATTTACAAACCCTTAAAATCAATAGATTTGTTATAAAAATTTGGAAGCCTATATCACTTACAATTTTAATCAAGTCCATTTAACAAAAGTCAAATTGACATTGTAATTTTTTCATAAGATTTCAAATTTACAATGAAATATCAAATATGTTTTTTTAATAAACCGCAACTTCTTTCTATATAATCTTCACATTTAATTTTATTTTAAATTTTTTCTCTTGTTATAATGCAATTTTTTTTTCAACACAAAAATTAGATTTGAATAACATTTTAAAAGGTTAAAAAATTATTAACTTTTAATCTTAAAGTTTTAATTTTATTCTTTTAATGATATATTTTATTTTTCTTATTTTGATAAAAAATTATATTATTTAACAATTTTTTTACTTGTGTTTTTTAAACCATTCACAATTTTAAGTAAAATGATTTATTTGATGTATTATATTTTTTTATACATTTGTTTATAAATTGATCAAATTTATAATTTTTTAAGTTATTTTTGGTATATTTCTTGTATATATTTATATTGATAATATAAATAGTAATTTACATATGAAATAAAAATTAAAATTTAATAAAATATTAATTAATCCCCTTAAAATTAAATGTCATGACCTAAAAAAAAAACTATAAAATTGGGTTTGAAATTATATGTGACATGGAATTCATGAGTTACGTGATGCAACCGTCATCAAGATTAGTGAAACAATAAAAAAAATTATAACAATAAAAATAATCATGACAATAAAGAATCAGAAATGAGGTCGTGTCTTGAATAGTTGATATGAATAATCCAATAAGTAAGCATGAAGAAAAATCAAAATTAAGTGATTTCATTTTCATAAGGTCTCCAATTGTGTCTCCTAACTGAATGAGAGTCTTGTATTACAATCATTCCCTTCTGTTATAAACTTTGTATTTCCACATCTCTCTGCATTATTCTTCATAAACAGTCCCAATTTGGACTTTTCTGTAAAGCTTTCATCAGCTTATAAATGTACGCCTGATTAATATATCGTATAGTTAGCTGCAATTAAATTTATGAACTTCATTTTCCTTTACATTAATGCTCTTTTCTTGAGGAGTTTGCCTTGTATTTCTTAAATTTGCAAAAATCCCATTTGGGACGTACTAGTAAATTAAATAATGATTGATTAGTTTAACTGAAATCGGTTCTAAAACTTTCAAATTCGAACTTTGGTCATAACCAAGAGATTCACAAAAGTGTTGGTTTAATGGTTTGCTATTACCCCTTTCTTGGGTATGGATGTGTTGGTTTCATTTGCATTAAACTCAAGAAAATTAGTCCTTAGAAATATTAGTAATTGGTAGTACTAGTGTATCTTTATCATTTGGTAAATCATTAGTTTTTAAATTTTATCATCCTAAAATATGTGATAATTTCTTAACTTTGTTTGTGAAATTAAAAATTTTTACTATTAATGTATAAAAATGATTTTTTTTCTTTCGATATTTGAAGTTATTAAAAATTAATTTAAGAATTGATCTTAATTATTAAATTTAATAGTTTAACCCATTATCATAGTATGGACAAACCTCCCTTCCCTTCAGTATTGACCCTCCCTCCCTTCTTCAATTTTTTTTTTTAAGAAAATAGAAAATAAAATTCCTCCTATGTAATTTTCAATCATTTGTTACATGCAGTGTCATTGATCCATTGGTTTTTCAAATAATTGATGATAAAATTAATTGATCATTGGTAAGAAGAGTTAGGACAAAACTTGCATAAAATTTTTTAAGTGAAATTTATGATTTTTTTTCTTTAAAATATTTAATAAAAAATACAAATCGATAAATGGATAGAATTTAATATGAAAATTAATAATATATAAAAATTATTAAAAATATTATTTATAATTTAAATTTGATTGATACTTTTTTAACGATAAAAATTCTGTTAATATTTTTATTAAAAATATCTATCTAAAAATATATATCAAAATTTACTTAAATTTTTTTTAAAAATTTATATAATTAATATATATAACAAAATTTTTTATTTTTAATTTTTACTTAATCGTTTTTAATAAAAAAACTTCACTAACATGACGTAAAAAACTCATTTAAGTTTTACGTAGAGGAGTTCGCCTAGAAAGGTTATAGGGAAAGAAGAAAAAGTGAGGGTAACAAACGGCAAAAGATTTTGAAAGAATTGAATGAAGGAAGGGTACGTGAAACGTGGGTTACGTAATACAAGTCTACGTAGAAAATGGTAACTCTCTGTCTTTGTGAGAGCGTGAATAGAAGCCGATGAAATGTCCTTTTAGGGTTAGATGAAAAATGTTTTGGGTCCCCTCTGAATAATATGGACCCCCTCCGGTTTCAATGTCGGCAAATCATCATTTTGTACTTCTCTCTTACTTTTAAATGGGGGAAGGGGTGAGACACAGCCTCCACTTCTTGCAAACCCCAAGAAAATTATAGCTTTTGATCAAAGTTCGATCATAGGTATGTTTATATCATTTTTCTTCTCTATAATACAACAAAGAAAAAGCAAAAGATCAAAGAGATATTAGGGGAGGGGGGGTGTGGAAGGCATACTTGCTTGATACTTCAAAGAAACAGAAAGGATATTTTTTCATCCAAATAAAAATGGGTCACCATTCTTGCTGCAATCAACAAAAGGTTAAGAGAGGCCTTTGGTCCCCTGAGGAAGATGAAAAGCTCATTCGATACATCACCACTCATGGCTATGGGTGTTGGAGTGAAGTCCCTGAGAAAGCTGGTGATCACTGCTTCATCTCTGTCTTTCATCATCACCTTTTATAAATCTCTTTTTTTCTTCCTTTTGATAAGCGTTTTGCTGCATGCTTTTTCCATTTTTTAGGTCTTCAGAGATGTGGGAAAAGTTGTCGCTTGAGATGGATTAATTATTTGAGGCCTGATATTAGAAGAGGGAGGTTTACTCCTGAGGAAGAGAAGTTGATTATTAGCCTTCATGGGGTTGTAGGGAACAGGTTTAAAGTGACTTTATCTACGCCTTTTTTTGTTAACTTTAAAGTTCCATAGTGTAACAATTCTGGGTTGCTTCTAATGGTGCCGGCTGCTGTCGGGTTGCAGTCGTGTTTATTTGTCTCTCTGAAATTCTTAAAGAGTTTCAGGTAATGTGTTAAGAACTTGAACAGTTAAAAGTTGAAAATCTACTTCTAACTGAAGTTAAGTATTTAATTAACAAACTTCAATGCTAAGTCTTCTGTTTAAATGTCTGGATTTTTGTTTAAGTAATGGCTAGAATAGAAAGCAAGCTCGATGGCTGCTGTTTAAGTAGTTGCTAAAGCAGCTGTCACCGGCATTTCAAGGGCGTTAAAAAGGCAATATCAGATGTTGAAACACAAATTTTCAGCTGAAAATCACATGTCTAACATCTTCAAATTCTTCGTTTTCTTTTCTTAATTTCCCTTCTTTCCCTGAAGCAAATAAGTCAATTTCATTTCCTTCCATGTACAATACTTTCTCTCTTTTCTACTCCAAGTTAATTGATATTTCATATTAGTAATATTCCACATTCTTTTTTCTTCTCGGTATTATTCAATTTCTGATATGTCCGAGGGAATTGTAGATGGGCTCACATCGCAAGTCACTTGCCTGGAAGAACAGACAATGAGATAAAGAACTACTGGAATTCATGGATCAAGAAGAAGATACGAAAGCCTTCAGCTCCTCCAACTAACACTGCTCCCTGTACCGATCAGCATTCCCAGATAAATTATGCCTCAAATCAACTAGAGTTAGTAAATCAAGACTTGACCACAAGGGCAGTAGTACCTACTCAAGAAACCCTATTTTCTTCTCCAGGCGCCCCGTTATTTATGTTTGACACAACTCCAATTGATGGGATTCAAGATGCTAATGTAAGAGGGGAGCTTTTCATTGAATCAGCTAATATAAACACTACTGAGACTTGGAATCTCAATCAGCATCAAGTTCAAGCATTTCCTCCTTCAACTTCGTTCACAACCGGTATGGATACAAATAATTATTTGCCACCATTGGTAGAGAACATGGAAATCAACATTGCGCCTATTGAAGTCCAATCTTGTACTGGCATAGATGAGGAAGGAGAAATGACACTTGAGTGCTTGCAGAGGCAGCAGCAGGAGTTGAATGCATGGGTTGAATCCCAGCAGTGTTCAAACTTTCTGTTCTGGGATAACATTGAAGGACAACTTAGTGGGGAAGCAATGCCACCAACTTCATCAAATATGGGAACTACACTATCTTCGTTCCCTTCTTGATCTCTATAAATTATTATATACTGGTCGTGAAACAAAAAAGAACTGCCCCCCACCTCCCCCACCTTTGCTTTGTGGGTCTTTGATCTCCGCTGAGTAGCTTTCAAAATGTTCCAGGCTTTTGAAAAAAACAGTTTGTTTTTCTTTTCCTTTCTCCTTTTTGCATCTTTATTGGTCATAAGCTTGTGAAAATGTGGGGGAATGCAACATAAATATGCATGATGAGTTTTTTTTTCTTCTTGGTGTTTGGAAACCGAAAAGGGAAGAATAAAAGCAATGTAACAGCCAGAAAAAAAAATGTTTGATGCTAATGAGTTAACTCTTATAAATATGCTCTCAATTTCAATTTTTTTTTTTTAATTTCTTTTGAATTGTTCTCAAGATTTTATGATTCTGAAAAAAGTACTAATTACCAATGTGCATGGGGAGGGAAACCTCAGTTACTTTTTGATTAAGAATGTTTTGATGTCTTTCTCTACCGTAAATTAAACTTTGAAACTTTATAGATATGGCTAATATTGCCAGACAGCTTGCCCGAAAATTTTTGCACTGATCTTGACTGCTCACATATTCTATATAACGATAACGATCTCTACGTGCATACAATAGTATGGAAGTTCTTGGATTTTACAGTCTGATATCATAGCTTTCGACAAGAAAACAATATTATGAGACACGCTAGAAAACTACGTTAAAGACAGCATATAACTTTCATAAATAGACATGTTTCTCTATAGCTGCATACGTAATATTACAAGGTACTGTTATTTGGTTTGTCTAGTTTTCATGATCACTGAGTGGTCTACTGGTCTTCCCGATGAATTATTACTTCCTGATCACTTGATGAAATCATCACTAGTTTTGAAGATATAGCTGAAGCTGTTATAGGCTTGTGGCCGATGTACATCATCGTTTAAATAACTATTTTGTTTGCACGTAGTGCAATTGTCAATTGTTTCAAAATGATGCTTATTAATCGGCAGAATAGTCTTGAAAACTGAAAGTGGTTTAACAAGTCTTGGATATTAATTCATGCAACACAATTCCAGGAGAAAATTCCAAATGTTTTTATTGCTACTAACTTGGTTAAAAACCCTGTAGAGCTTTTCTTTCTCTAGAAGAAGGGAAAAATGAGTAATAAGAAGAGTGAACTGATCATGCAGCAAGGACATATATATGTAGAAATCAATTGAGACATTCTTTTTAATTGGACTGTTTGAGACTGAGTGGGGGGGGGGGGGACTAGGGAGCTATAGGTCTTGAATGTAATGTGGCTGAAGAGAGTTATGAATGTTAAAACAAATCAAAAACCAAGGTTTAGTTTGAAATATATTAATGATGAGCTAGGACCCATTCAAGGAAGAAATGCACATTTGCTCTGCATCCGATCGATCCTAAAAGCTGATGGGGGGTGGGAAAAGGTTGTCCTTGTCCACTAGGCCTGATATATACATTAACGCTAATACCATTGGTCGGCCATTAACTAGCCATAATCACTTTGTACGGCTTCTACTGAAATGACAAAAAGATGTTTCCTCACCTAAGAAGGGATTCTAACATTGCTTCAAATCAATCAAAGCTGTCTAAATATGGAAGAAGTTTATTACCTCTCCTCTTTCAATAATATATATAAAATGTATAAAATCTAAAGTTTTCCATTTGATTTCTTTACTTTAAGATATCTTGAGTTGGTATGCTGTATGTTTGCTCGCTTTTAATTTGAAAGAGAAAGAGAGTTTTATTTGAGTTATTGATTATTGTCTCCGCTGTGCTGGACCTTTCTCCTCTTGTGAAGCAACCGGCAAGAATATTATGTCACATTGCCAATTCAAGAATTACAGTGTTTCGTGTTCATCAAATCATATGATCTGTCTCATTGCAAAATTTTAAGAAATGTTTATATGACGTGTTCATGAAATCATAGTTGTATATACTTTGATCTCAATATCAACTTCGCATCTGGTGATAATTAAAAGGAACTTTAACCAGTAATCTGACTATATATCTGCGTTCCTTCCTTTTAAATGTTCTTGTCTCATTAAAATAAAACTCAAATTTCATTATTGCAATACACTTGCACAGACAGATTTTTCTCTTTGAAATTCCTGGAATCCTGTTCTATATATTATGAGAATTATTTTAAATTACCTTAGTTTTCTTTTTAATCTTTCTGTGGCATTTTCATTTGGATCGTCTCTCTTGCTTCGAGGGACAAATACATTCCATGCATACATTAAAATAAGCGCATTGACATAATTAAAAGAATATTAAAAACATCATAATTTATATTCATTTGACAAGCTGATCAGTTGATTAAAGTAAATCAAGTTAAATATATATACATTAGATAGTAATTTTCCTTCGCATCTCCTTGTTTCTTTTTTACTCCCTTGCCTTTGTTTTCAATGCCTGGTTGAATATGTAGAATCAGAATCACATTATGTTTTAAATTAATCAGCAGCCATCTTAGACTGTTCCATCTGAAAACAAGGGTGACTTTGTAAACAGATTTTTTGACTCACAGTTATACTGACATGCTGCCTACCATGTCTAGCTTTTTTTTTTTTTTTTTTTTTCTTTTTTCTCCTCTTGAGTTCAATACGTGTTTTTCCTTCACAAAGAATCCATTTGAAACCCTCAAAATTGTAATAATATGTAAAAAAAAAGAAAAAGAAAAATCAAGCATCATGGCAAAATGTAGATTTTTCTTTTTGTTAAGGGAGGTTACTCCATCTCCAAAGTTAAGGTAAGCCATCAACTAACAAAAGGATTTACAGATTCTTTGAGATTTTTTAAAGATTTTTCAGACTTATAAATCGCCTACAAATAAAGGACTATAAAAGTTCTAATCTGGGTGCTTTGCAGTCAAACCCTAAATTTTAACCACTTGCATCAACCTCTATTAACATTGCAAAATATAGATTAATTGTTTGGATTTTCAAGATAAAATGATCAAGGTTAGAGCTAGCTTAAATGCCCAAACTTTAGAAAATTGGTTTAATGTTGTCTATAGGATAGGATTTAAAATATTGTATATTTATTTATTTATTTTTACCTCCATTAATTTAAATAAAAAAAATAACATTTATTGTCTAAAACAATCATTTATATAGTAGTTGGGTTGATCTAGTTTTGAAAAAGGAAACATTATTCAAAAGTCAACCAAAATTAAGTTGTATATTCAATATTGTGAACAAACTATTTAATATCCCATGGATGGTTTTGAATTTAAAACTATATATTATTTCAACTTGCACATTTATCATTGCCCCAAAGTTTTAATGGCCATGACATGCATTAGCTGAAATATTGAATTATTCTAGCTCCCAAGCATTTATCTTAATAATTCATGCAAAATTTCCGTTTCAAAGAGCAAAATTCGAATCATCGAAGAAAAAAAGATTGTACACATGGAATTGCTATTTGGTTTGAAAACCTTGGTGCTTTGCTTTCATGGGTTAAAGCTCATAGTTGGACTGTTCCCCTTGATCTTGTTAATGGGTTAATGCAGTTATCAAATGACACCTTGAGACCATATTTCGATTGGAGGCCCGATAAGAAAGCCTACCAAAAAGGCCAAAATAAATAATAAAAAAACCCCAGACCCTAAACTAGGGTTTCTCTGTTATATGCGATAAGAGAGCAGAGGGAAAAAGCCTCCTTTCTCAGCAGACACTCTTCGCCGCCGTCCCTTATCTCATCGCAATCATGGTAACTTTCTCGCTCTTTCTAACCTGTTTGTTTGGTTTATGAGAAAATTTCTTTAATATGTTTGTTCTCTTGATTCCTAGATCATCCCAGAAAAGAACCGCCGCGAGATCTCCAAGTACCTCTTTCAAGGTAACCAAAGAAAAAAAAATCTCAACCCCATTTCCCATTTTTTATTAAGATCTTTGGATTTGAAATGTGGGTTTTTTATGTTATTACCAGAGGGTGTTTGCTATGCAAAGAAAGATTACAACTTGGCAAAGCACCCGGAAATCGATGTTCCAAATCTTCAAGTAATAAAGCTGATGCAAAGCTTCAAGTCGAAGGAATACGTGCGTGAAACTTTTGCTTGGATGCATTATTACTGGTACCTTACCAATGATGGCATTGAGTTCCTAAGGACTTACCTTAATCTTCCTTCTGAGATTGTTCCCGCTACTTTGAAGAAACAAACCAAGCCTGCTGGTCGTCCCATGGGGCCTCCTGGTGACCGTCCACGGTAACAGTTTTGGTTTTTTTGCTCTTTGATTCGATAAAAAATAATTTTTTATATATAGGTTGATGAAATTTTCATGCTTTGTTGATATGTCTGTTGGTTTTGGTGGTTATGAATCAGTGGTCCACCACGCTTTGGTGACGGTGAGAGGAGATTTGGTGACAGAGATGGCTACCGTGGAGGTCCACGAGGAGGAGGTGATTTTGGTGACAAGGGAGGAGCCCCTGCTGATTATCAGCCTTCATTCAGGGTAATGCTGCTTTGAATAATTTTGAAAGTTTTTTCTTTTTATTGTATGAACGGATGACATATATTATCCTCGATTGCTGCTTGTTCTGTTTCTTTGTTATCACTTGAGTCAAGTGTATTGTCTACATAGTTTGGCTTGTATGCGTAAGGTTTACGGTGTTTACAATAGTTCTCTGAACTTTGGTCAATTTTGTAATCATTTGTTTGCTTTTTGGTAATTCCATGTTCTGTTAAATAAGCTTAATTTCTAATTTGATCGAAAATATTTTTGGAGGTGAGTTGTTATTGCGTGAAAGTGGCTTAAGGTAAGCTGTTAGTGAGTGTCATTATGATGTAAATTTTAGTTTCAGTCATTTAAAGTCATTTTCCCTTCCCTAGGACTGGTTGGAAAGAGATTTGTGCATAAGAGATGCTAGTTGTTTTTCACTTTGAAGATGCAATTTTCATATGATTGCTTGAATAATTTTTCTCATTTATTTCATGTGACCACCACATATTGATATGGCCATGCCTAGGCATCATTAACCATATGAATATGTTATTTTTCTTAAAACAGAAAAGCTGATATAATTTCTTACTTGTGAATACACAGGGCCCTGGTTCAAGGCCTGCCTTTGGTCGTGGAGGTGGTGGTTATGGTGGTGCTGGACCTGCGGGTGGTGCAGGTCTTCCTTGAGCGGGATGATTTTTCATGAGAGTTTTGTCAGTTTAGGTTTATTGGCAATTGGAATTAATATTACCTGTCTTATGCTTCAACGTATGATAATTGTAGTTGTTTGATGGTTATAAATTATTGCTTCTCCTTGGTTCATTTAATGGGGAATCTAGAAACAATGTTTTCTTTGCCCTAATCAATATGCACAGTTTGTGGTGTTTGTTGCACTAAGTGCTTGAGATGTCATTTTGTTTTACTCATATTTTCGGAGCTGTGTTTCATTGAATTCTGTTTTCAGGTAAGACAGTTATAACGTTTATTATTCATGACATTGTGGCACAAAAAGCAATTCGATCATAAGTAACTGGAATCCAAAAATCAGTTATAAATAGTTCAGTACTTGACTTGTGTTGTGCAGCTGAATTTTGAAAGAATAAAATTCTAAAATAATGTTCTACTTTCATGATAGATATTATGGTCAATTTTCCTGAATGCTGAGGATTTAAATTGTTCACAATCGAATTGTAACGCCTTCTCTTACATGTTTCATCATTCCGTTTACGGTAGCATAGATTAATTTACTCTCTGGATGTCTTGTATCATTTACCATGAACCTGAACATCTCTCCTTCTACCTCAACAGTGCTCCATCCTACTTCCTTTCTCATCCCTTCTACTTGCATTACCTGTGACCTCATCTTCGCTGCATCCTCCCACTGTCCTCTGCTAGCATAAACGTTTGATAGTGCAACTCTCCAAGCTTTGCCTTCAGGATCCTGGACACTTAGCTTCTTCGCAACTCTCTCAGCTATGCTGATATTTCCAAAAAACCCACACGCACCCAGTAGAGCATACCAAACATCGTTGGCTGGTGTTACTGGCATATCCTTTATGAAGGCTTCCGCTTCCTCAAGTTTCCCTGACCGTCCCAAGAGATCGACCACGCAAACAAAATGCTCCATGCTTGGTTCCACTTCGTATTCTCTCATGCGGTTGAATATTTTATAGCCTTCTTCAACCAGTCCCGCATGCGAGCATGCAGAAAGAATGTTGGTGAAGGTGATAGCATTCGGCTTATGTGGACTGGATTTATTTAGCCCTGTGAAAGCCAGGAGAGCAGGCCTCCCATTGCCGTTGATTCCATATGCAGCAATTAATGAATTCCATGAACCTATATCTTTTGTGGACATCTCCTCAAAGGTTTTCTCTGCTAAATCCAACCTCCCTGATCTTCCATACATATCTATCAAAGCATTCTGAATGAAGATATCACTAATTAAGCCAGTTTTTGTTATGTAGCCATGAATAACTTGCCCTGGCATGAATGATGACAAGTTTGAACAAGCCTGAATTGATGCCAACATGGTGATAAAATCTGGACGCACCATCTCTCCTCCACGATTGCTGTGAATATCTTTAAGCAGCATTAAGGCCTCATGGAATTGACCATTCTTGACGAGATGTGTAATCAATGAATTCCAAGAAATAATGTCTCTCACATTCATCCTGGCAAAGACTTGGAAGGCTGAGTCGCTTTGCTTGTTTTCTGCATACATGTTAATCAAAGAATTTTCTACAACGCATGAAGAAAACCCATGTTTGATTAGGTAGCCATGGAGTTGTTTCCCAAACTTCAAATAATTGGAATGACCGCAACCCTGCAGGAGAGTTGCCATTGTCTCCGGGCAAAGAAATTGTCCTTCACCATCAAAACAAAATTCAGAAAAAAGTTGTATTCCTTCTCTGAGGTACCCATTAGTTAAGTACATCTCAGCTACAGAATTCAATACAAGTTCATGTCGACGCCATCCCAATTTTGAAACGAAGCCATGAATCCATTGCAATATGCGTTGTCGTCCAATGAAGGAACATGCATGTAAAACACTCAAAATTGTCACCTCATTCGGTATAATCCCATCTTCTTGCATCCGGAAGAAGACCTGTAGCGCTTCTCCCATCAAGCCATGTAGCACAAAACCTGAAATAACGGAAGTCCAAGAAACAACATCCCGCGAACTCAATCTATCAAGAAGCTTAACTGCATCTACGAAAGCCCCAGATTTTGCATATGCACCTACCAAAGAATTCTGCAAAAAGCTATCCTTGAGATATCCACTCTTGAGAATATAACTGTGGACAACACAAATGAATCTGAAATTGCGAATTTGTGCAACAGCTTGTAAAGCAGCTGCTAGAGTGAACTCATTGGGGCACTCATTCTCCAGCATCTGAACAAAAGTGGAAATCCCTTCATCAGCTAATCCATTGTGGCAGTAACCTGAAATCATCGATGTCCATGATGCTACGGTTCTCTTAGGCATATGGTCAAACAGTTTTATGGCTTCTTCTATACACCCACATTTCATGTACATATCCAGAAGAGAGTTGTTAAAAAAGACATTGCTTTGCAATCCAGATTTTAATACTGTCGCGTGAATGCAAGATCCCAATTCTAAATTCCTCGATCCTGTACGTGATTTTAACGTATGGACTGTTGATACAGAGTCTAGCGCTAAGCGGTCATAGGACAAGTTTTGGCTTGATACAGACCTTTGCAATTGTACATTCCTAATTTTCGTTCTTTGTTTAGGAAGTTGGAGACTAGCGGAATCTGTCTGCCCCAAGGGTAAGAGCTGAAAAGCAGGCATCTGAAAGAGTCTAGAATTTTACTGAACCAATGACAGTAATTCACTTCACAACAAACGAAACAAGAGTTCGAGACATATAGTCATGAACCATTGCTTAATGTATTTGTTTACTGGATCGAAATGAGAAGAAAGAAAATTTGAAGGTAACGTCAAACTGGAGGAAAACTCAGATTGCATTTATATACATATATTTATATTTATATATATAAAGGAAATATCAGATGTAACATCTCTCAACAGGGTAAATAGTACATGGCCATGGGACAAACCACTAACAACGACCCATAAAAACCTAAATTAAAAGCACACGACCAGAACCGGCAAAGTTTACACTCAATGACGACACTTTACACCGATGTACATATCGAATACTATTGACCACTTCTATCTTTTAGCTCCCTCAGTCGACCTCTTCCATCTTGCTCTCCTCGTTCCTCTCTTCCTCCAAAGATGGCATATCAACATCATCGGCATCGGCAGTGTCATCATCATCAATGCTCAAACCCAGCTTCAACATCCTGTGAATTCTTGCTGCAAATGTGTTGGGATTATCCAAGCTGAAACCAGAAGTCAAAAGAGCAGTCTCGTAGAGCAGCAGTACCAAGTCCTTGACTGACTTATCATTTTTGTCAACTTCAGCCCTCTTCCTTAGCTCCTCCATTATGCCGTTGTCTGGGTTGATTTCCATTGTCTTTTTGCTAGACATGTAAGCGCTCATACTGTTGTCTCTCAGAGCCTGGGCCTTCATGATTCTCTCCATGTTGGCCGTCCATCCGTATTCTCCAGTGACCAAACAGCAAGGAGAGTCTACAATTCTGTCAGACACAACAACCTTCTCAACCTTTTCTCCTAGAATCTCTTTGATCGTCTTGCAAAGGTTTTCAAAGGACTTCTTCTTCTCCTCCTTCTTCTTCTTCTCTTCTTCAGATTCCTCATCAAGCTTGAGCCCTTCTTTAGTTGCAGACACTAGCTTCTTTCCATCGTACTCCTTCAATTGTCCAACAGCATATTCGTCAATAGCATCAACCATGAACAGCACTTCATATCCCTTCTTCTTGAGTTTCTCAAGGAATGGTGAGTTCTCAACAGCTTTCTTGCTCTCACCAGTGATGTAGTAGATATCTTTCTGGCCTTCCTTCATCCTAGTAACATAGTCCTTCAAGCTGGTCATCTCATCACCACTCTTCGTAGAATAATACCTTAGCAAGTCAGCAAGCTTAGCCCTATTCTGGCTATCTTCATGAATGCCCAGCTTGATGTTCTTGGAGAAAGCTTCATAGAACTTGGTGTAGTCCTCTTTGTTCTCGGCAATCTCAAAAAACATCGCAATGCATTTCTTCACCAGATTCTTTCTAATCACTTTAAGAATCTTGTTCTGCTGCAGCATTTCACGAGAGATATTCAAAGGGAGATCATCAGAGTCCACAACGCCCTTGACAAATGACAGATATTCAGGAATGAGTTCTTCACAGTTGTCCATGATGAACACTCTCCTAACATAAAGCTTAATATTGTTCAACTTCTTCCTTGTGTCAAAGAGATCAAACGGGGCCCTCTTGGGCACAAACAGGATTGCCTTGAACTCAAGCTGTCCCTCAACAGAAAAGTGCTTCAAAGCAAGGTGATCCTCCCAATCATTTGTGAGACTCTTATAGAACGATGCATATTCCTCCTTCGTAATCTCCTCTGGCTTTCTCAACCAAATTGGTTTCTGCTTGTTGATAAGTTGCCACTCATGGGTCACCTCCTTAACCTTCTTCTTCTTTGATTTCTTTTCCTTATCCTCATCAACATCCTCCACATCACCTTCCTCTTCCTTCTTCGTGTCCTCATCTTCATCATCACTGAGCTCCTTTTCAGTAGTCTTCTCAGTCCATAGGTAAATTGGATAGCTGATAAACTCAGAATGCTTCTTCACGAGGTCCTTTATCCTCCTCTCCTCCAAGTGCTCCAACTACAGCATATATAAACAAACAAAAAATAAATACCGACAATCATATCGAAAGAATTAAAAGTACTAATAAATTGACGTCAAATTACAACTCACCTGATCTTCTTTAAGGAACAGGGTGATTTTGGTACCTCTGCCAAGAGGTTCACCACCCACATCCCGGGTGACAGTAAAAGATCCACCTGCCTGAGACTCCCAAACATATTGATCATCATCATTGTGCTTTGAGGTGACAATCACCTTCTCTGCTACCAAGTAAGCCGAGTAAAACCCTACTCCAAACTAACCAATCATGCTGACATCAGCTCCAGCTTGTAATGCCTCCATGAACTCCTTTGTTCCAGACCTCGCAATTGTCCCCAAATTTTTTACCAAATCTAAACAAGAACATTAGAATTACTATCTTCAATTTGAATACGTGAAAAAGAATTTATAATTCCCGACTGAAAAGGTGAATAAAAATAATTCTTGTAGATTTCTAATTAATTATGTACCTGCTTTGGTCATGCCAATGCCACTATCCACGATAGAAAGGGTTTTATTGGCTTTATCAGGGATGATTCTGATAAAGAGCTCCGGCTGAGCATCGAGTTTGCTCTTGTCCGTTAAACTCTCAAATCGGATCTTATCCAATGCCTATGAAAAACAGTAACCAAAACATTTCAGTCTCTAAATCAAACATACCAATCTCCCCTAACAGCAAAAAAAAAAGAAGAAAAACAAAAGGAATACTAATATATCAAAATTAGAATTCTCCTTTTTCTTTCGCGGTAGCCAAACAAACAAAAACAAGCAATACACACAAACACCAACTCTTTTTTTTTTTTTAATCTGAAAGGCAAGCATTCATAAATTAAACAGAAATTCGGTACACCACAAAAACACCAACTTACTGTTCAAATATCCAGATAAAATTTAAAAAATACAAAATAAAACATCATGATATTAGTAGAGAACAATCCACCTATAATAAAAACATGAGAAACAATATAAATTCCTAAGAAAAATTTCTTTTCTTTTCTTTTTTCTCAGCAAACAAACAAAGACATAAAATTATGAAAGTAGAAAAAAAGAACAAAATAATATACGTACATCAGAAGCGTTGCTGATGAGCTCACGAAGGAAGATCTCTTTGTTACTGTAGAAAGTGTTGATGATCAAGCTCAAGAGCTGGTTGATCTCCGCTTGGAAAGCGAAGGTCTCTGACTCTGATCCCATATGCACGTCTGCCATCAATTGCAGATCAACCGATCGGGAAAATGAAGAAAAGAAAACGAGAGCACGATTGACAATTTTTGTTTTTTGAGTTTCGCTTTGGATTTCTGTACAAGAACAAGAGTTCAAAGAGGTGAAATATATAATTAGAGAAGAGCAAATGGAAGGTTTTGGTATCGGTTTTGCGCGGGTTCCAGACTTTTCTTCCATTTTCTAAACTTTTCTTGTCCCCTTTTTGTCCTTACTCTCAACTGCTGCTGCAGACTGTGGATCCAGAATCTTCGTTCCGGGACTTGGCTCGGATGGTAAATTGCCCCAAACGACGCCGCTTGTGACAAACTAGTTTGGACCTGTTTTTCAATTAAGACCCAAGAAAAATGATAGTTGGGCCCTTGGACTTCTACTTAAGCCCAAATTGTCCAAGTTTATGGATATTATTTTCATCATATAATAATATTAACTCAACCTTTCTTTTCTCATATTGTATGTTAAATTAAATGTGCAAATCTCAATTGAGAATGTCATTTTTCTTGTAAAGGAGTTGTATGATTTTTTTTTTGTAATGTCAATGCTTTTTTCATTGCCAAATTTTTCTACTTTTGGTTAAAAATAATTTTATTTATACAAATATTACAAAATTAAATGAATGTTAAAAAAAAAAATCATATTTTGCATTTGCAAAGTATATTTAGAGTCTTTACTTAAATTTTTTTTCCTTTAATCACACTACAAGAGATGATAAAATCACAAAAACATCTTTCTATCATACTTAGTCATATAGAATTAATTAAAAAAAAAAAGCTTGTCATTGTTCTTTTTCTTGTCAATCGAAGTGAGAAGCAAAATCGGTCATGTTTAGAGTATTTAGACATTTTCTATTAACTTACCTTAATTTATTTTGAGTTCTTGACAAAAGCTTCTATGACTTAAGTGGGAAGTGATTATTTTTAATGAAAATTAAAAAAAAGGGTCAATATATATATATATATATATATATTATTTTTTTGCCAAGCAAAAGAGGTATACAATAGATCACATTTTATAAGATATGTGAGAATTTAATGTTATATCTAATCAAAAGGCACAATAAGGTAAATTCTTCTGTCCCACTTGTTGCCTTCATGTTAGATTTTCCACTCTTCCCAACTATTACTGACACTTATAACTAGTTGGTTGATAATGTCTGGATTCAGGCCGATGTTTTGCCAAGAACTTGAGCTAGATGGTCTTATTAGACTTTAGATGGTTACCACTTCTGCACTACTGGTTTCCTTATGGTTGTTTCCTCATTTACTAGCAGAAATGTTTTGACAGTTGTTTGCATATGTGATTTCTTATAGAGTCTGCAAAAATTTTTCAGGAACAAAATTTGGCAGCGGTCAACCTGGATTCGTGGTAGTCAGTTTATCATCATTCTTATCCTCCACTACTCAATAGATTGGCTGAATTTCGTCCATTGGATAATAAAATGCTCTAAGAAAGCGCCAGGCAAGTCTAATGGTATTGGCAGCAGATCTTTCCAAATCCCTTATCAAAAATATATGCTATTGAACACATACGCTGTAGGCAGGAGAGACACAGATATCAGTTGTACAACACAGTAGAAAAAACTGAGGATGTAAGTCAAACCCAATAGGCAATAGGTCTTTTTCCGTCATAATTATTCAAAGATGGGCCTAAATCAAGCTGCAAAAGGGCAGCCATGATAGTCCCATTACCCATGAAGTCACAATGAAGGGGTCTCTAGTTTTATTTTCCTACAACAAAAACTAAAACAGGGGGACAATTCTTTTTACCCAAAATCTTGGCCTTATCAAGTACAAAAAAATGGGTTCCTTTTATTCCTCACATTACATCACAATCTTGGGTTTAAAGTAAATTTAACAATACATCACAATCTTGGTTTTAAAGTAAATTTAACAATGTTTATTTTATATTTTATATAAAAATTATATGATATAATTCATATAAATATAAAAATAGATAATATAATTTTTTATTTTATTAAAATTATATATAATTATTGTTATAATTTTAATTCATGTTATCTTCGTATTTTATTTTTATATCATATTTATATTATATAATATTTTTAAAATTAAAAATAAATAAATTAAAAAAATTACCCAACAAAAAAAAAATCTAAATCTTATATTCCTACAAGAAATCGAGTGCTAGAAACGTGGACAAATGTGCACTGAGTTGTGGCGCCGGCTAAGGCAGAGATGAACAAAGAGCACAGCACAGATGCCACCATGCAACCTGCCCAGCCAAAAGAGGCCTGGGATTGGGAGCAAACATCCCGTGATCCGCGCAACCACCATAATATCCGAAAGGAGGTGGTTATGGAAATACTTGGCACCTTCTAGTAATCACGCTCTCTGCCGATGTAAAAAGAAACCACATGTTAAGCTGCGTGCAGGATTACCATGCAACTTCAATATTCACCCAACTCTTTGCTCTGAAAATTTCATCAAACAATTTCCTCAAAATACTATTATCCTTCATATAATAAAAAGAAGGAAAAAACATGAGGCTATTTTCTTAATACTGATAGTGTCTATTTCTTGGAAGAGATAAATGTATGACTTTTGAGGGGTTTGTCAATTTATTACCATTAACATTTGCTCTCTTGATTTTTTTTTAATTAGATGTTAAAATGTAAAAACCATGAATTTGATACCCTTTTTCAATATTTAAATTTAAATAAAATTTATACTATTCAATAAAATTGAAAAATAAATAATGAATGAAATTCTATCAATTAAAAAAATATATAATAAAAAATTTTATTATTTATATTTAATGTAATATCAATATATAAATACAATATGTTATCGTTGTCTTACAAATTATAATAATATTGATTAATAAATTTAAAATTTTTAAAATTTTAAAAGTAAATATTCTTAGATTTTAAATGAATGTCTTTAAATTTATAATAAATTATTATTATTTTATAATAATTTTAGAGGAGTGATTCAGTTACATAATGCAAATTTTTTTAGTTTTATATATATTTTTAATTATTAATTTTAATAAATTCAAAAAATAAAAGATAAATAAAAAATAATTTAACTTTATTTTTTCAGTTTATTAAAATTAATAATTAAAAATATATAAAATTAAAAAAATTTTAATTGCGTAAATTGATATCTTATGATAATTTGGTTTTTTTTTTTATAAATATCCATTTAAGTTGTTGTTATTTCGACCAAAATAAAAAGGAAAAAGTTAAGTTGGTGTTCCGAGTTGGTACACCAACTCAGTCAAGATTTTAATAATAGTAAAGAGGAGTGGGACCCATGGCATGCAACCATCCACATGGCACAAAATCACTGGCATCATAAAAACAATTACGGGGCTATAAATGTACCCTCAATTAAAACCATTTCTTAATTATTATTTTAGGAAACTTAAGAAAGTTTCCTTCCTTTCAGTGATTTTCAAACCAAAATAATTTTCATTAGATTAAAAAAAAAAAAACTCAGTTTAAAATGCTAAAATTTTGCAGCCGAAAGTAACATTACGAGTAATTAACAAAACAAAATTGCCGACAATGCTTCTGCTCCGGATATAGCGCTGAAAGAAAGCAAACCCATTTTGAGAAACGCAGATTTTTCACTGGGTTTCAAGTTTTGCAGGTGAGGCAGAAGAAGGCAAAATAATAATAATAATAAATAAAAGGGCAAAGACGTTAAAAAGGAAATGGCAAGCAGAAAAGAATCAAGCTTAGAGGGAAGCAATATCAAGGGAGTACTGACTTATGGAGGTAAATATGTTCAGTACAATGTGTATGGTAACTTGTTTGAGGTGTCCAGTAAGTACGTGCCTCCTATTCGTCCAATCGGTAGAGGTGCTTATGGCATTGTTTGGTGAGTTTTTGACTTGTTTATTTATGCTAGTTTTCACGTTTTCTTGAAATATTTGATGGGTTTTTCTGTTTTTTCGTTGTTTTTTTTCTGTCTTTTATGTTCTATTCCTTTGTTTTTGTTTGATTCTTTGTGGGTTTTTTTTTTTTAATCATAAAAAGGGGGGTGGTTCTGTTTTGGTCTAAGAAAAGGGGTTTTATAAGTTGTGGTTTTGGGGAAGTTTTGTTATCTGATGATTAGAGTGACGTTGTAATTAGTTAAATGAAGCTTCTTTCATTTGACAAACTTAGAGTTTGTTCTTGATGAAGCTGCTAAATTCCCTGGCTAATGGTTATATGCTATGATTTGGGGGCTTCCTTTTTTTTTATTTTATTTTTCTAATTTCAGTTTGGCACATGATTGAATCAGTTTGATGTTTTGTATATAATTTGAATTTTTTAGTGAATGTGGTTTAAGCTCAAGATTTCCATCTGATGGATTTGGGGTTGTTCAAAGAATATTCTGAACATGTTGTAGGAAAAAAAAAAGATGAAAGAATGGGGAAAAGTGAAATAGATGATCTGCTTATGCCTGTAAAAAATCTTTACAAAGCTTTCTTGTTTTCCACATACCATTTGGAATTTGCATGCTTTGTTAATATGGCAGTGAATCATGACTTTTTTTTTCTTTTTCAGTGCTGCTGTTAATTCAGAGACGCGCGAGGAGGTTGCTATTAAGAAGATTGGTAATGCTTTTGATAATAGGATTGATGCCAAAAGGACATTGAGAGAAATTAAGCTTCTTCGTCACATGGACCATGAAAATGTAAGCACAAGCTCTTTATAATTTCCAGAAATTGCAACTTTAATTTTTGTTCCTAGGGATAATTATGCATCTGCTGCATAATGTTCCCAAGCCCTTTCTTTAACATTTCCTTGGAGCGTGGACATTTAACAATGGGGATATCTCTTGTGTTCCTACTTCCCAGCTTCCTTTTTATAGAGCTCAGAAGTACTTTCTGGTTTCTATGACTCACTATTTGCATTTCTTTTACCTTTCTTGCATTCTTTATGCATATGTTGGTTGTGAACTCTTTGATTTTTGATATTTTGTTACGTAGGAACACCAGTTGCATTCTATTGATATTGTCTTAGCAATAATCAGGTGGCTAGCTACTGCAGCATTAGCAGCAATTTATTAGAAGCTTTCGCATTGATGTTCATGAATTATGGTGCTTTTTCTGGACTACTTGTGCTGAAATTGAAGGGATTATCTTAAGAGTTGCAATCAGTGCAAACACTCTTTCACTGTTTGTTTATTTAGTATTTTTATGACAAATACCTGCTTCATACGCATTTAAAGCGTGGCGTGTTCAATGGGAACTATATATCCTCTTTACATTGACTGAATTGATCTGCACATACTCCTTATCAGTTAAAGTTTCTTCTTCTAACAATCTGCAGTCTTTTTATTATTCCTTGAACCACTACTCAGTTCTCTTCTTGCAGGTTATTGCCATCAAGGACATCATTCGACCACCGAAAAAGGAGACCTTCAATGATGTTTACATTGTTTATGAATTGATGGACACTGATCTTCATCAGATAATTCGCTCTGACCAACCATTGACAGATGATCATTGTCAGGTTTGGATGAACAATTTTTAGGAGCATTTATGTTACTGATATAACTTTTCCTCATAATTTATTGAAGCAACTAGTTCTTTTGCTGAAGGAATTCATAACATAGGGGACTTCATGTAGTCCACATTGCATTCTATTTTTTTAGATATTATTATCATACTTTCACTAAAACCTTGATTGATTTAAAACCAATTGGAGGAAACAACAAATACTGCTTGCAAGCTGTTAACTGGATTGATGCCATCAAATTAGTATACTAAACTGGGGACTGGAGAGTACTGTGCTATGCAGTATGTAAATTGGAGAATTTCTAGGTTAAACTAATTGCCCCGGCTAGCAAACACCTTTGCCCTTAATATGATAAAATGATTGCTACAGCACTCACAGTGTTATTTAGCAAACCAAACTATTTACCCCTTGTTTGAGGATTTAAGGAATGCAGGACTACAACTGCAAGCCTCGGTGCCGCTGGCTTACTAGCCCTATTTAAGAACATTTTGTCACAAGAAGATGAGTGAACAGCAATGATGCAGAAACCTTACAAAAAAGTTTACAGTATCTCTTTCTTGTGATTGAAATATAATTACAGGTTTTGATACCTTGATTTTGTTTGACAGTGCATAAGACATGACACTGATATTGTATGAAACCTTTGCAGTACTTTTTATATCAGTTGTTACGAGGGCTGAAGTATGTACATTCAGCCAATGTTTTGCATCGTGACCTTAAGCCAAGCAATCTGCTTTTGAATGCAAATTGTGACCTTAAGATTGGAGACTTTGGATTGGCAAGGACAACATCTGAAACAGATTTCATGACCGAGTATGTTGTCACTCGGTGGTATCGAGCACCAGAGTTGCTCCTTAATTGTTCAGAATACACTGCCGCCATTGATATTTGGTCTGTTGGTTGCATACTTGGTGAAATTATGACGAGAGAACCTCTGTTTCCGGGCAAAGATTATGTTCATCAGCTGAGACTCATCACGGAGGTAGTCAACTTCCACTGAATTATTCTTGCCATGGTCTTTCATAATCTATGATATGATTTCAGGATATAAAACATTGGGTGATCTGCTATAAAATTTTGTTTATATCCTCCTCTTCCACAAAAGTCTCTTTGAGCATTTCATTTCTGGTTGCTGACCCTCATCACATTGGTTCATATTGACAATAAGTTTAGAAAGGTATCGCATCTGCTTATGCATGGCCCTGAATCCTGATGATGGGGATGATGGTATTACTGTCCAGGTTAGGAGCAAGCATCTGGCCTGACTTGATTGACAAATATCTGTGATGGTTTGTATATTGGAAAGTAAGGAAAACAACAAACAATTAAAAATAATTGATGTTCAGTACACCAATCTTTTCCTTAGTGTGGGTTATGGTTCCGTAAGGAAATAAAGATAGCTTTAGTGTCTTAACTGTCATTCCATGTGATTATCCTAGTTCAGATGTTCCAGAAGAAATGTATTCATTTGAAATTCAAAAGTTATATTAATGTGTACCATGCTGCATGTTGTTAGCAACCTCTCTAGCCTCCCCTTCTTTTTAATGTTGTTATTCCGCTAGTAAACCTCAGTTTGTTAAAGTTTTAAACTAAATACATTCTCTTTTTTGTCCAAAAGTTGATAGGTTCACCTGATGATGCCAGTCTTGGATTTCTCAGAAGTGATAATGCCCGAAGGTATGTTAGACAGCTTCCACAGTGTAGGAAGCAACAATTTTCAGCTAGATTCCCAAATTTGTCTTCTGGGGCTGTTGATCTACTAGAAAAAATGCTTGTATTTGACCCCAACAAACGAATTACAGGTACAAGCCAAGAAATACAATTTCAAGCACTGTGAATATTTTCTGATGGTTTCCCCCTTCTTTGGTCTCTCCATATCAGTGATTATTTCTTGCATCTATTTTTGCAGTTGATGAGGCACTTTGTCACCCATACTTGGTATCCCTTCACGATATCAATGATGAGCCTGTCTGTGCCAGGCCTTTCAGTTTTGATTTTGAGCAATCATCATGCACCGAAGATCACATCAAAGAGCTTATCTGGAAGGAATCTGTGAAATTCAATCCTGATTCTGTCCACTAAGAGAATCTCCTTTGGAAATTATGTAGAAATATAGTGGGAACGACTTCTTTTCACTGCAATTCCCTTAATATGATGTTGTTCCTCACCATTCAATGGAGTCGATAGAAATTAGGAATATCATTCAAGTTTGCTTCCTTTTCACTCGAAGTGAACTAATGTACAAGTAGCTGAAGCATACCTTGTTTGTGACATTTGGGACCCAAAAGTGGTTCTACATAAGCCCAATCGGATGTCAGTTTAGGTTATTATATGATCAGAACAAACTGACTCAAATCTTCCTTATTGTTAGTAGATAATGCAAGTTCTAGAGCTCAGTGCAAACACTGGATGTTGTATTGATCACGGCCCCTTTTTCTGTTTTTTTTTGTTAGCTTAATTACTTTTCTAACTCAGGCGTCAAGAAACCATGGAATAGAAAAAGAAAGACCTTCCAATAATCATCTAAAATTTTGGGGGTTGTGTATATCATGCTTAGAGATTTGTTTACGACTGCAAACTCGATCAAACATGACCGAGGCTGGACTTCATCCGACTTTGTATCTGATGAGAGTTTACAGAAGGATTGTAAAATACAAATCATATATTTATTTCTTACATAAAAGAAATTGATTTCATAACTTCATATTCTGTCACAAATTCTGTAAGAGCACATTTAAACTTAAATTTCGACACTTGGGAAGCTGTCATCTGGAAACTTACAGGCATTCTCGGGTCCTTGATCCGTAAGCAGATTGCACGGCTGAGGGGTAACATTACTTGAAACCCCGGCAATTTCAGTGCAGTTCCATTGAATCTTCTTTGGCTTTTTTGTCAGTCCAATCGTCGCATTGGATATGCAAATTCCAGTGAATGGATGGCCTGGAATTCCCTCCAATCTAGCTGCCATAGTCACATTCTCTGCAACAACATCTCGGAAATTGATATTTTGGATAACTGGAATTGCATTAGGATCATAATTATTGTCAGGATGAGAGCCATAATTCCCTGCCATCCAAAACACCATTTTCATAGTTTTCATAGTCATCCCTCTCACATATATGTCTTTGACATAGTTTCCTCTTCCCACAGCTGTTTTAATCCTCACGGCTGATTCCGAATTAATGCCTGTGATGTCTTCTGCCCTAACATCCTCGATCCCACCGGACATCTCACTACCTAGTGCAATTACTGCACTGAATGGAGAAATACATGTGAGCCGTCTGATCACCAGCTGCTTTGTTGGCATACCAAACTTGATACCATATTCATCCCAGCCACTCTTTACGGCTACACAATCATCTCCAGAGACAATGTAGCAGTCCTCGATTCGGGTATTCGTGCAAGAGTCTGAAGAAAAAAAGGAAGCAAACAAAACCTTTTAACACCGATGAAGTAGAAAACATGCTGCAGGTAAAAGGTTATCAACATCTGTTGCTTAGCCAGATTCATTGTCCACTTTCTCACCTGGGTTGATCCCATCAGTGTTTGGAGAAGTTACTGGTGCGAGGATTGTTAATCGTTGAACAACAACATTGCTGCATTTTAATCACTAGCAATCTTAGAACATGATACCAATATGCCAGCATGCTGAGGAAACTGTAAACTGGCAAATGAAGGGGGGGGGGGGCAAAAACCTGCTGTAAACAGGATGAACATTCCATGAAGGAGAGTTCATCAATGTGAGATTAGAGATTTGAACTTCATTGGAGTACATTATCTCAATAAGGTAAGGCCTAGTGTATTTCAGCTTTCCCTTGTGGAATTTGTCCCACCAGGTAACACCCTGACCATCGATAGTGCCATTGTCCCCTGAAATATGATGAAATCGATATTTTAGTACTTCATAAACCAAGGTATTGTTTAGATAAATCTCATTGATGATTTAACAATTCTTGATACCTGTTATCACAACATCAGTAAGATTGGTTCCAAAAATAAGACTGATATACCTTCCACCATCTGCATCCCTTCCTCGACCATAGGACGGTAGAGGGTCAATGATAGCCCATTCACTCTCATCCTAAAACAATTTCCAGACACAAGAAATAGTAAGCATACGTGACTGAAAACACAGCATAAACCATGTAATTAGATATTATTATATTCACCTTAAAGGCTTAAACCTTTTTCTTAAGTAAAATTATATTCACCATCAAAGAAGTACAATGAGATTACGGTATTCAGCAATTAGCAGCCACCCAATATTTCCAAGTTTTATGGCTGGTCTTAATGGTCAGAATGAGGGGCCCATGATTTAAGCTCATTCGGAAGGTGAACCTTCAAGGTAGACCCACAATTAACATAGGACGGAAACTGAACGGTTCAGATCCACAGAAGTCTAAATAAACTAATGAAGTGGGCCCTGTGCTTTGCGGTCTCTCCTCAATGCCTTGCTTGGTTGCATTTTGAGGCGTTCCCTAATCTCTCTTGTTTACGTCTAGCATTAGAATAAAGTAATCTTAAAACAGTCACAACCCCATTTATAAGAGAGAAGAAACTGATTCACATGCATTAAACTGCAGAAACAAATAAATAATCCTACTTAGCACAATTCCCATGAATGAATATATTGTTTATTGAAGGTAGTGAATGTAAAATTCCCATTTTGAAACAATTTTATCTGTTCCATAATTTCCTCCATTTTCTCATAAAGTCCTAAGTAATAATTTTTCTTTCCTATTAGCTTATAAAACCTGAAAAAAGGGGTATTACTAATTAAAAAGGACGAAAAAGATCAAATATATATTGCCGTTGAGAGTTTCTAACCTGTGAACCAAGAAGACTAGCATCCTTGTGGAGATACAGAGTGAAATGGCTGGTAAGATTAAAACTACCAGTCAGCCATTTTCCAGGAGGAACAAATAGTAGGGATCCGCCATCTGATGCATACTGGCTCAGGTTATCAACGGCTGCCTGAAAAGCTTTTGTATTTGATGTCACTCCATCACCAACTCCTCCAAAGTCTGTCAATGAAGCACTGTACTTTCTGCTGCAATCTATAGCTGAGTAGTCAAATGCGTCTAAAACTCTCACCTTTCGGCTTTCAACACCATTTATTTTAATCAAAACCAAAACTATTCCAAGTAATACTATGGTATCAAGAACCTGCAGAACCTGCAAATTAAGCAACCGGCATATATATGAGAAGGACAGAGACAAATATACATGAATTTTTATGGTAAAGTAAGCAAACTGATAAGGCTGGGCTTAACAATGCATCAAGAATGACATTCCAAGCCAAAGAAACATGGAATTAAGGAGAAAATAAGAAACCAATAAAACTTTACTTTCACATTAAAGTTTCAAATTTGGGCGGAAGGTTATGCAGATGATGGTATACTCAATGTGTATGCTATTAATTATTGACAAAAGATAAACGTAAAGACTAAAACGGAAGAATTTCCCGGTTACCTGGTTTCTTCTTGGAGTTGTCCACATCTCCATCAAGCCAAAAAATAATGTTGGTTTTTCGTTTTGTTCGGAGGCGTGCAAGGAGTTTATATAGACTGAGGTTCAAAGCATTCAGGAATCTTCAAAAAGGCAGCCGTTTATGGCGAGGTTAAAGAAACAACGAATTTACAATTCAACCCCCAAATAGTTCCCTCTGTCCCTTCAACAAATTTGACTTTTCCTTTAATATACGGAGTAATTCAGACACTTTCCGTTACAGAATTCAAGCTAGTTTTTAACGTGATGATTTCATTTCATTTGTCCATGAATCAGAGATGAAACCAAATCCTCTGCCCTGTTTCCTGCAGTCATTTGCACTATTTTCCTGATATAAACACCTATGTTTATGTCAAATGATGTTTCTTATCAAGCACAACTATTTTGTTTAGTATTATTTTTCTTACTATGTAGTGATCATTGACATGGACAGCTAACCGTTTCTTTTAGACATTTGAGAAAGTTCAAAGGCAAGAAGGGATTTGAATCTTGTGAGTACCAAATTTTTAGATAAAGTATTTTGGAGAACATCAAGAATATTACAACACATGGTATTTTCTGTTTGTGAATTGACAGTTGGAATCAAAATTCACATCGGAATCATATGAAACTGATCAATAACCATCGATTCTCATATATTCAGGAGTTGATTCAGTTGAAGCTATGATGTAAATGTTGATTTGAAAACATGGTGCAATATTGAACACACAATGCGCACTATAAAAAGGCATTTCCCACTAGTTTGGTGCTGATATTTATAAATGGAAACTCCCAATCTCTCCCGATAGGTTCCTGGTTCACTGAACTACCTTTTGAAAAGCCTATTGGGTCAGGTTCCATGAGAATTTCCCTGTGTGGGCACATGCCCTGCAGATTGTATATGCAAACTATACCCAACTTTTGCACGTTTAAGCCATGGAAATGACTACTACAAAGTATGATGTAGAAATATTTGATTCTTAGATAATATAAATTCAAGTTAACAACCGCAATGACCGCCAAATCCCCCCCCCCCCTAGAAATTGTTGTCGTTTTGAAGAAAGGACCAATAATCAAGAGGTTCTGTTCATCTTCTGAAAAATAAAAATGCTAATGAATTTGAGGGATTGTACATACGATGAATTTATGTATATTTTTGGTTGAATATGATGTGGGATGTGAACATTATTAATGGTTGGGTCCACCGGTCACAACAGATTTTAATTTTTGTCAGAATTTTAATCGCAGTGCCAATGCCCACCCATGAGCATTTTGCCTTATCTCACAGTCACGCCAGCCCACCTTTTCACGGGCCTAGTTTAATATTTTACTCATCATATTCTTTTTGTCAAGATATTTTACTCATTATCATTCAATAATTTCAAGGAAACAAAATTTCTTGCCGGACAGATCAAGCATTTGGAATTTACATACATGTAGATAATTTTTATTGATAATTAGAAAATTCCTTAAAACAAAAAATTGGGATTTGAAATTCGAGATTTAATTTTATTTATATTTTTAAAAAATGATATTTAATAAATTTAAAGTTTAAATTTTAAAATTTATAATTCTTTCTTATATTTTTAAATTAAAATTTCTTATCTTAAAAAAATTGAGATTTGAGTTATTGGATTCTTAAGATTAAAGATTTTAGCTTTTTAATATTTCCTTTTTCTTGCCTTTATTCAATACATTACTCAACATGATTCCCATCATTTTTTGGGAACAAATAGGCTCATTTTGTGAGAAGAAACATGAACCATAAGAAGCATTCACGAGAACAACATTTTGGGTAAGAAACAAAAAAAAAAAAAGGGAATTAAATTCCTATTTTTGTTGGTTGGTAGTGGGCTTTTTGTGGATGTGGATTCATTGCGCCTAAACCTAAAATTCCCCACCATCAATATGCAGGATTTCCACCCAATGAGCTATTGGCACATTGATATTCCCCACTCGTGTTTTATTTTTTTTTGGCATTGTTGTTTTTGTATGGATAGGCATAAGTAGTGACCATCACTAAAATAACTTAAAAGGTATTGCTATTGAAGCATTTCACTCCAAGACATCTATATTTTCTTGGCGTTTACACCAATTTGTTGGTTATCAAATCCCATGTGGTTGATTTCAATCCTTAGTTGGCATGACAATATATTCTTCTCTTTTCTTTTGTTTTAAATATATCAAGGATTTGGGTGGATGTCTTGCACGAAAGATTTTGGTATTTTGTGTTTGTGCCTAAGAAAAGATACAAATTACAAGTTAGAAAATTGTGGTCATATTACTTTCATCTAATAATTTTAAATACAATACAATAATATAATACGAAAATGATATGAATAAAAAATAAAAAAAAAATATAATTTAAAATTTTAACAAAAATTATAAAAAATTAATAAAATTAAAAAAAATATATTTTATATTTTTGTATCAATATAAAATATCACATATTATTTTCATGTAAAACATAACACGAATACATAAATTATCAATAATTTACACAATGCAAATATATGAATTACTAGGTTTAATAATTATAATCTTGTAGAGAGTTAACAAGCGAAAGTCCTTTTGTTTTTCTTTTATTTCAATTGTTGATTATAAAAAGGAAAACCCAATGAGTAAATGTGTAAGGTATGTTGTCCTGGTGAGGATTTTCATATAGGTTATTCAATCTCCTCTGCTTAAAGCTTTTCAGCATTTGATAGGTTATAATTGACCCTCTTTCTTATCTATTTGTTTTTTAATTTTCTATAAATTTTAGTCATTGTCTCTTTTAATCCAAAGAAAATAAAACATCTCAACGTTCATTTGTATAAGAAGAGAAAAAAAAAAAAAGCAAAATTCTTTTTTGCATGCTTATGATACAGAACTTCAGAAAATGTTTCCAATATTGAGCTTAGAACACACACTTTTGTCGCATATGGGATGAGGTTGTTCTCTAGAACTATTGGGCCTAATGAAGCATGAACCAATCATAGGAACCCATAAGAATTAATTCTGAATCATAGGTAATATTTCATTCTTCGCAACATGTGTAAAGGTTTTTTAAATGCAAAATTGCAGTGTAAACTTTTTGTTAAATGAAAAATCTAATATTATTAAAATTAGAAGTCACTATTATTATAGATTTTGAAACTGGGAGCCTTGAACTTTAACCTTATATTTGAAGAGTCCAAATATTTTACCATTTAAGAGTATATAATCTTTATATGTATAGAAAGTTCTAAATACATTTTTTTTAAAATTTTTCAATCGATTGTGATACTGTTATTATATTAAATAAAGAGGCAAACATTTAATCATACCTTATTAAAAATGTCAATGCATAACTATAGATGTTTTGAGAAAAGAGCAGTGGGTATATATAAATTCATATGATATATTATAATATGGTATGTAGTTACAATTATAAGCATTAGTAGATATTATAATAATGAGAAAATAAAATTATTCAAAGTCCAAGTAGCTTGATGCACAACATTACTGGATAACAAAAATATAAGATGAAAAAAAATGTGCATGAATCCATAAAAATAACATTCTGTAAGCACACCTTTATGTATCAAATTCTTCTCAAAGAAACAAGTAAGGACCCAATATATATATATATATATATATATATATATATATATATATATATCTTGTAGGGTTAAAAACAAATCAATTATGAAAATGTTCTTATAAAACTCATGCATGAAATATAGAATCTAGGTATGAAAGCACAAAACACAGGGTAAGGCAACATATTATTTTCAACAAAAGAATAATCATTAAATGCCAGCAATTTAACAAAAACTTTTAAGACTACATTATGGAAAATGAAATAACCAAACATTAATCCATCATTTTCATTAGAATATGAGTTGAATTCTTAATTAATCTAATTGTACAATGAGCATGAAAGTTACTTATGTAAAATATAAACCCTACCGATATTGAATTAATTAGAATAATAGAAATGTAATTCTTTTAAGAAAGTTTTTGGAATTTCCTGTAAAAAGATTTTCGCAGCATTGGAAATGGAATAGAAGCAAGTACAGTAAGCTTGCAAATGTTAAAAGTGAACGGAAAGTTGATTAAAAGAGATAAGAATTATTAAATTTTTTTAAAAATATATTTTTAATACTTTTAAGATATAACAAAATATGAAGTTGTAGAACATTAATCCAACATTACTATAAAAATATGAATATAATCATAAAACAATCAACACGTACAGTAATCATGAAACTTACCAGAAATAAAAGGAATTGAAATATATTTTATAGATGTAAACAATTAATGGATTCAAATACATATTTAAATATTTATTATTATTTATTAAAATTTAAACGAATTTAAATATTAAATATTAAGGAAATACTATCCGTATCTACTCCGAATTTGTCATAAAAGAAAATTTTTATTCGAATCTATTAATTATTCGTTTATAACAATCCAAATCCAATATAAACAGATTGAATAATGATGAATACCCATTTATTTACTATCCATTGCTATCTTTATACAATTCTTTTCGTTGGAAAGTAAAATATGTAATATATTCAACCGTAACAATTAAATAGTATATATTCATATTAAATGTTCGAAATGAAATTAAACGATTTTTTTTAAATTATTAATTATTGATAGAATATAAATAGATCAAAATTAATATAATCAAACAAAAATTTCTGACTTTTAATCTCAAATGCATTAATATTTAATTCAATACTAAACAGAATATGGAAGGTCAGCTTTAAACATTTGATGCTTAACTATTGTAACTTTCTGACTGGCTCTTGCTTTAGATTTTGGTCGCAAACTTGAAAGCTATCGCTTGAGATAAAGAACATATACATACAGAGTCATTTTTGTAAAGGCTATGGGTTCATGTTCATTGCATTGTGTAAAAAGGTGAAAAATAATATATAAAAAAAATTATATGGTAAAAAGCTGCAAATCGTTACATTGAACACCACCGCGGAAAAATGATGTAAAAATTAGAAAGGAACAAAATTACCTCATAACGATACGTTTGAGAAACAGGAAAGAAATTGACGGCAAAATCCAAACGAAAAAGAATTCCGGCAACCTCCTTGTCGTTGGTGCGTCTTCTCCGTTAATCTGGCTTTGCTTAGGACAAAGATCAACCATCACTTACAAACACAAAGATTGAGAACGGAAAAGCGAAAGGGAAAGGCCAATCTGAGTGCTTGAATTCTTTTTCTCATGATTTCAAAGAGAACGGCATCCATAGTGGAAAAGAGATTAATCCTCCAACAACAATTGAACCCTATTTCTTGACATAATATGGGCCCCATCAATCGCACAAACTCTGCCCAGAATGGGAATAAAACTCAACATGAATTTTTAGAGGAGGATTTTGAGAAATTTTTTAGTAGAAGTAAGTAAATAAAAATTTTAATAAAAAAATCGAATTGATAAATTAATAGAATTTAATATGAATATCAATAATATATAAAAATTTATTTAAAATATTATTTATAATTTAAATTTAATCGATATTTTTTAATGCTAAAATTTTTATCAATATTTTAATTAAAAATGTCTATTTAATAAATATATCAAAATTTATTAAAATTTTTTTCAAAATTTACATGTTTAATCTATGTGATGAGATTTTTTAATTTATCAGTTTTAACTTTTAATTTTAATTTTAATTTACTCATTTCTAATAAGAAACTTTTAAAACTCTACCTATAAAATTTTATGTAAGTTTTTCCTCGTAATGAAAACAGAGGGCACAAAATTAAAATCTTAAAATTTCAAATGACCAGCTTCACCTCTTAAATTCCTTTTATATAAATAATATATATAATAAGTTTTTAAATTAATTTTTATTTCTTCAAAAGCATTTTAATTTACTTTTTACTCATATGCACTTTTTTCCCAAATTAAACCCATAAAACCTTAATCTTGGTAAATCCCATTCTCAAGCAAATCAAAACTAAATTTAACAATATGAAACAAGAAAAAGAAATGAAAAGTAATCAAGGTTCTTAACTAGAAAAAAATTAAGCAACTTTTTTAGTTGTAAGATAGATGATCAACATGATCAATTATTTTTCATCGATATATATAAATTCTGTCTTGAGCAATTGAATATAAATGCATGCTACAATTATTTAATTTATATGACTTAACATATGTCAAAATTAATTATAAATAAAATCCCTCTTAAACTTGATTAAATTAATTCAAAAAATCAACATTGTTACATTAAGTCATTAACTTGAAATATATGTTACAATATGAAGAAAGGCATGCACCTAATTCAAAGTTGCCCTCGCACTTACTAAAGTTAAAAGGAAAAATAGTAACTAGGTAAAGATATATATATATATATATATATATATTATATAAAAGGAGAGATCAATTTATATAATGTAAAATTTTTTTAGTTTTATACATTTTTAACTATAATTTCAATAGATTAAGAAATAAGAATAAATTATTTTTTTATTTTTACTTGTCTCTCTCATCTTTTGGATCTATTAAAATAAAGTTAAAAATGTATAAAATTATTTTAGTTTTATACTATATAAATTATCATCTTTCTTTCTCTATATGTATATGTATATTATATAGCTAGAGCTGACATTATTTTCCTCACTAATTAGTTTACTTTAGTCTATTTATGATAAATTTGTTTGGCAAAAAGCCTTTAATCCAATTAAACATCTAAGGCAGCGAAAGTAAAATCAAACAATTAATCAATCACATAAGATATTACAATTTAACGTGATTTGGTCCAACTAACCTACATTCACGGATAAGAAAAAAATTCACTGGTTATAGAGCATTACATTAAAATATCAAATCAATCCATTCAATAATTAATACCAACAAACTCTCTCAATCTTTTCTAGTTTTATGGAGTGTTCTCAACCCAAACAAACACATATCCATGTACTATCATGTATCATACCTATGTGGACTCTTTTAATCTCCTCTAATCCACTCACATGTACCAAACCTATGCGGAACTTTTTCAATCTCCTCTAATTCACTCACAAACAATAAGTATATACACTTATCAGATATAAATCTCTAGTAGTTTTATGAGGTGTCTATTTTATAAAATCTTATAACTTTCTTATATCTTTTTTTCATACCTAACTTTATAGAGACTTCACCTATTTATAAGCATACAAATTTACCTATTAAGAATCTTTTTTTTTTAGAATTCTTTTTCTGTAAGTCAAATTTACCCATTAGAAATCTATTTTCTCTTAGTATTCTTTTTACAAGTTTTCTTGTCTATCAAGCAATAGCTAGCTAATCTCAAATAAATTTCTTATAGGATTTGAGTCACTATTCTCAATAATCTCCACCTTGACTCAAATTTTATCAAATCATCTATTTTCATGTTAGATATGCTTGACTCTATCTATAATGGAAGTCTCATAATTATTTTCTCTTATGTGTCTTTACGTTTCATGCAAATCAATCTTCAAAACATGAACTCAAATTTTTTCCTTGAGGCGAGCTCTTCTAGGCTTGCTTTTTCATATATCTCAAACTTTCAACTCTAATACCACTTGTTAGAGATTACCACAACTATGATACTACTTGATTGGCAAAAAGCCTCTAATCCAATTAAACATCTGAGCTAGCAAAAGTGAAATTAAATAATTAATCAATCACACAAAAACAATAATTTAACGTAGTTCTGTCTAACTGATTTACCTCCATAAATGAAAAAAAAATATCCATTAGTTATAGAGAATTACATCAAAACATCAAATCAATTTCACTCAACAATTAATACTTATAAATTCTCTCAATTTGCTTTAGTTCTATAGAATATTCTTAACCCAAACAAACATATACTCATATGTACTCATACACCATACTTATGTGGACTCTCTCAGTCTCTTGTAGTCCACTTACAAACAAACATACACACCTATAAGATGTAAATCTCCAGTAGTCTTATGGGCTATCTATCTTATAAAATCTTACAACTCTATTACATTTTTTTCTCATACCTAACCCTGTACAGACTTCACATATTTATAAGCATACAACTTGCCTATTAAGAATCTCTTTTCTCTTAAAGTTTTTCTTCTGCAAGTCTTCTTATTCATCAAGTATTATTTAACTAATCTTAAACAAATCTCTTATAAGATTTGAGTTGTTATTTCCAACAAAATTAATGATGAAAATGCAATAGTAAACGAACAAGATTTATATTATAACACCTGCTGATTAATTATTGATCAACTGGATTAATTTATTAAGAATACAAAACCAACATATACAAATCAAATATTAGCATTTCTCTCATGAATCAAGAAAGAAATTGAGGAAAGCAGATTGCAGGGTTTCTTCTTTAACATTGACATGATGGGATTCAAGTTCAATTCTTTTAGTAAGAAAATATATCATACAATAAACATTGATCTAAATGTTAGGACACACGGGTTAAAGGTTTGGTTCTTCTGGCCAGAAAAAAAAAAAGGTTTGGTTCTCAAAAGAAAGAACGAATATATATATATATATATATATATATATATATGATGGAATTTGAGTCCTTATGGAAACCAGTTTCTATAATAAGAAGAAGATTATTAAAGAAGGAAAGATGAGTTCTAACTTCCAGTTTAATTGAGTTGGTGTAGATGCTGAAAAAAGTTGCAATTAGACAAGTAGGGCCGGTGATTACTAAAATATTTAGGCAAGTGTTCAATTTATTGCCTCCTGATGGTCGCCAAGAAAAGTAAACAAGAACATATGTCCCCTATATCGTCCTATATAATAATAAACTAGTTGGAATAACTCAGAAAATTTGGTCAAACTGAATCATGAACAGACATGCGTTATTGGGGCAGATCCACAGACAAATCTCTTTGAGAATTTTTAATTCACAAATCTTTAGTACAAGAATTCAGAAGGGAACAAAGCAAGGGAGCACTACCAAGTTTTAATATTACTTAATAACTTGTTTCAAAGAGGTATATAACAATATCAATATATATATATATATATATATATATATATATGAAATCCAAAATGGAAAAGTTCCACTTTCCAAATTTGGGAACTGAATGTAAAAAACAAACCTCATCAATTATTGCTCATCAAAAAGCCACACATTGACATGAACCTGAACTTCTGCAGGGAACACATACATTCGACTTATAGATTTCTTCATGACTGAAAACCATTTTTTTTCTTTCTTTTTTTACAGAGTTATGAAAACTTAAACACCACACGATGCTAATATAATAGAAAGGACCCTTGCAAATTCAACAATGATATGGGAACTGAATCCCTTATTTGGCAAGAACAGCAGATGTATATAATATTTAAAACCCACTTATATGTTAACTTCAATCCCTTTTTTGGAAGCAATCAAGTAAAATACTTAAACTTGTAAGAAGGAAGCATCACTTGTCTCCAAAGAGGTACCCAAGAGAGGAATCTCCACCCGGAACTGATTTAACTTTTGTTGATGGGCGATCCTGAAATTTCACAATACAGTACGTAGATTAAAAACTACGCACAGCTAGATGAAGTGCAAAGAGGTTTTCAACTTAAATGTGGTAATAACTCACAGTTATGAAGTTCCCCGAGTTCTGTCCTTGAGCCCTATGATAGTTGTTGCTGACGTTTTTCTCTGTCCGTTTCTCTGAACTTGGTTTTTTTGGAGCCGGAGGCATCTCTGGGGTAATATCTATACCATATGGTGGCTGGATCGGTGGTGTTACAGCTGGTGCACTTGGTTGCTTATCAGCACCAAAGAGGTAGCCCAAGGAACTTTGCCCGCCGCCGTAGCTCCCACCTCTACTCATGGCAAGTGGATCAGTGCTGCAAGATTTAGTTAACAAGTAAGTTTCAAACAAGGGGAAAGAAAGGGAAAAAAAACCCTAATATATAATGTGTTTAGGGACTGTTTATGTATGGATGGGCTTATGTATATATGTACATGCATGTTATCTCTGGAAATATACTGATGATAATGCACCATACCTACCTACTAGGCCAATTATGTACATTAATCAGCAATAAACGGTTAAAAGAATCAAACTAAAGCATGGTGCAATGTTGCAAATTGCAATATAGCTGTGCTGGAAAAGGGGATCCAGTGGTTTCTTTAGCGTTGACGTACCCTTGCGTGTATGTTCGTATGCCATTAAGTTCCAGGATATATAGATGTGTAATGCTTAATTACATGAATAATGAAAACCTAATCATATTTCTTTCATCAGCTGGCACAAGAAAAAAAAATTTACAGTGATTAATTTCCATCCTATATACCAGTTAGTATGATCTGAATGCCACATATGATACTAAAGCAAGATTTGATTCAAATAGTATATTGTTGTGACCTTTAAAATTGTGCACCAAACCTCTTTAGGGGAGCTTAATTAAAGATGTGAAATTAAGCATTTCAAAAAGAAATTATATCATTTAAAGGCATTCAGAAACGTCCTTAATCATATTGGGATACTTGTTTCTGATGTTTATATCTGTGAATATTGCAAGATCTGTCGTACATATATGCAGTACAAGTTTATGTGACAAAAACATAACCCAACAACCATACCATGCAAGTTAGCACAAAAATGACTCTAGAACTGTCGCTCTGCAAAGTAGTAGAGATCAATTGGTTAAGGGTTCAAATCAGGTGGGCTCTATCAGCCATTGAAACCAATATAATAAACCATAATTATTAGGATTGTTTTTTAGTTCAATACTGTTGACACATAATTGATTTTAGGATTGCTTAGGCCACAGATCATTATTTAATACGTGGTTAAATTGGGTCCATTGACGGTGGACTGCTGAGGCATCTAGCCAGGACTTGCCGATCTTTGCAACTTACAGTCTAATCAACCAATCAAAGTCAGCGTAAAAAGGTGAATGATACCACACTTTGCACTGGGATTTTACTGTAACCTAAGATAAATTTGTCATCAATCATGAATTTCATGACACGTTTATGCGGTTTGAGCATAAAGCACATCGTTTAAGCGCTAAAGGGGTGTGTAAATGGGGTTAAATCAAGATAATGGGTGACTAACAGAACATATATAAAGGGAAATGATAATATGATTGGTGCCATATAGTGTTGCAATAGGGCCCATTAATGACTTGTATTCCTCAGGAAAAAAAAAAGTAAGAATAGGAAAAGGAACTAAGCTAGTTTGATTCAGATGGTAAGGTTCGGTAGGAAGGAAGCTTGTAGGCCAAAGGAATCCAGCTTTCAGCTAATGGTTAATTACTACAGAATTGCACCACGAATAAAGATGATTCTGATGAAATCAATTGCTATGCAATAAGGGTAATATGAGAACCTATCTAATTTTGCATCATTAAAAACTTGGAAAGTTGACAGAGATTGAACTTGGTCATGATCAGCTTGTCAAGGTCTAGCCAGATATTATTGCCCATATATATCCTTCAACAGGTGATGGATCAAAACTATGATGTCTATAGCCCAAAAAAGATATCTAAACGTCAACCACTAAATCTTGATGACATTGAAAAGCTCAGAAATGGGGCTAAACCTGAAAATGAAATGGCCTTTAACAATAATCTGTCTAGCATATGCTCTTATTTGAAATGATAAATATCCTCTGCCAGCTAAGCTTTTCTGATCACTGGCCATAACTGTATTTTTTGCATTGATATCAATTTCAAAAGAAATTTAGAATAGTTTCTAGTTCTACTAGAAAAAGCTTTCTGATTTTCTTAAGTTTAATCATAAACCCTCTACAAGAAACCAACCAAAGATTTGGCCATACTTATGTCATTTTCTGTATAATTTGGTAATATATACATATATTATGCTAAATTTAGAAGTAAAGATATCCATTTCTTTCATTTCATATTGTATCTTAACTTCTTAAGCATGAACACTCATAAAGTAAAAATATAGCACTTCACGATAACCTCAAGTACTTTGCTATCATCAATATTCTTAGATGATAATGGCTGAGAATCAGACATATAGAAGAGAGGAATTTCATCAGTTGCATTAGTTTGGCAAGAAGGAATTATCACAAAAGCTGGAGGATATATACCAATTTTAACCCACAAAAAAATCTACTGGGGCAAGGTGGCTCAATTCAAATGCAATAGCATGACTTGATTGTTGCCTCTCTTGAAGCCTCAACTAATGGCCATGAGTTATTATTTTACCAACAAATTAATAATACAACAATCTCGCTAACAGGTACGAGATTTGAGGCCTGTGTCATCCATTGACCGGGGAAAAATCGAGGTTTTATTTAATTGCATCACCATAAGGCATGGGACGAGTTCAGATCTGTTTGAATCTGGCTTCTTAATTTCTTCTGGTTTGAGGTAATATTCTTCATCCAAAACTAAAAATTACTAGTCGCTTTTCTCAATCTATTCGTGTCAAATTACATTATTTTTTATGAATGTAATTGCAAGTCTTCAACCAATAGAGTGTAAATCAAATATGCATCAGCTCTTTTTCTTATTAATAGCATATATATCAGTACGTATACAGTTGTTTGTGATGATGACCAATATGACATAGGTGCAGGAATCTCATATTAATGGGAGAGGATATAATGTGTGATTTGCTTGGCATAAAGTGAAGTGGTGGAGACACTGGATGATGATGAAGTCTAGCTTAGATAGGTTAAATCTATCAGCAAAAGAGACTAGATATGACGAGGAATCACACTTAAGACCTCCATTTCTAACCTCTTTATTGGACACAGACATATATGTCATGTAAATGTTATTAAAGGATCCAATCCTACCAACAAATATTTCAATGGACCCACCATGGGAATTGCCCCCCGTGCAAGGCCCCAATTCTTTAATTAAAAAAATGAACCCAAAAAACTGATCAACAGAAAGTAGTTTGTAGCTAGCTTCTGTCAGTTTACAATTGGTAATTTGAACTTGAAGTTTGATCAATGATCAGTCAATGAATCAATTAAAAAATGAAAAAAAAAGAGGAATTTCTTTCAGTCCACAGTTTCAAACTAGTTTCTATTTTGAAAGAGATTTTTTTCCTTCACTTCTTAGTTCAGTGACAAAAAGCTTAAAGAAGGCATGAAAAGATGTAAATTGAAACCAAGTCAATCTAGAGCATGTGAAAGAAAATGCAAAAGTAATTCTAGCAATTACGAACATTTCGCTTCACGGTACACCTTAATGGTTAAAGTTTAATTAAAACTTTATTGAATTCGAATTTTGAGATGGAAGAGATGAGATTTACAAATTATGAAAAAATTATTTATTTTTGTGTAATTCAATATCACATATTCCGTAAAAAATAAAATTACGCATATTTACTTAAATTAATTAGAAATGGACCCGAGATATGATTAAAATACTATAAAATAGAGAAGAAAGGACTCTTCCTTTGATTAAAAAGAAATCAAAAAGTAAGAACAAGTAGTAACCTCTTTGCTTTAAATGTTAATGCCTAATGCTACATGTACTGTTTGCATGCCAAAAACAGGCTGGTATCTATACACAGTACTTGTCATACATTTTGTCCCATCTATAGGCGCCTATTGGCTATTGAATTAATTGAACTATATTCATCATCATCATCATCATCATCATCATCATCTATAATTCAATTTCAAGGTATTCATGAAATTCGGCATAAACTTATCATGAAATAGTTAAATTCTATTTAAATTACAATTTGAATAATGTCAACATGAATTCATGGTAACAAAATCACCCCCCCCCCCCCCCCCCGAAACTTTCATTCCTCAGTAGAAGCAAAACTTTCATACAACATCAACCTGCTGTAACCCGAAACTTTAAAAAATGCTTCTCTTCTTCCTTCCCATAAAAATTTCCTTTGGCCTTTGGCTTAATTGTCTTGTTTTTGGCCAAAAATATATATTCATATCAAATTTGTGTTAGCTTTAGAGCTAAGAGTTTATATTCACATCCGTGGCGACAGGAAGTTTGGCGACCTCAAGCACTGCAATCTACCAGTTCGGACGTAACACTGCTCCACAGAGGAGAAGCCAGGTATAGTAAATTCAACGGGAGAAGAGGGTCACATGTTTCATGAGAAAGAGTACTATACATATAAGGGTGTTAAAATTTTTGGGGGGCCATCGCCCTTGCCTGCCCCCTAGCTACGCCCCGGCTGCTCCAACGACAAAACCCAAATCGATTGCGTTTTGCTTATCAGTTTTGGCTCGAGAAACCAAGTCGTTGGGCAAGGGTAGTCATGTTTTGAGGAAAAGGAAGGGCTTGAATATATGCATGGTGAGGCAGCAGAGAAGAAATGAGAGTGACAACGAGGTTAACAAGAGTGACACGGTGAAAATTTCTGATAGCACGAAAGACAACAATCATGTCACTTTCCAGGGCTGAGGAGAGAATAGCTAGGAAGAAATTAGAGAGAACAACTTACCTGCTTGCTGCTAAGTTGTCTAGTTTAGGCATCTCTTCAATGGGGGCTACGGCTGTTTATTACAGGTTTTCTTGGCAAATGGAGGTAAACAACCATGCTTTCCTTTTTTCTTTTTTCATGGTTTTGGTCAGGTGGAAATATTTTTGTTTTCGTTCTGAATTTTGGTTTTGACCAATAACAGGGTGGAGAATTTCCACTGCTGGAGATGTTCAGTACATTTGCTCTCTCTGTTGTTGCTCTGTAAGCGTATAATCCTTCTAACTTCATCTGATTGGAAAAAAAAAACAAAAGATTAATGGTTTTCTAAAATGGAAGTTGAACTGATTTGGGGTATGCTTGAATTTTCAGGTAGGGATGGAATTTTGGGCAAGGTGGGCTCATGGAGCACTAAGGCATGCTTCATTAGGTCAGTTACAAAGTACTCCTAATTCCATAAGAAAATTTTTTTTATCGTGTAGAAATCTTTAAATAGAATAGAGAATTATACATTAAATCAAATAAGCAGATATCTTGTACTAAAAATAATTAATGACATGCATATTTTACCCTTCTTATTAACTAACATTGACTCAAGATTGAAATGTTAAAATCATGAGTTATCTTATTAATTAATATGGAATTTTTGTAGTCTCACCATAGACCAAGAGAAGGACCATCAATGCAGTCCCTGCCATTGCTTTGCTCTCTTACAGTTTCTTCAACAGAGGCCTTGTAAAACGGAGGAACTGGAAAAATAGATCAAGAAAATAACTAAACTGTCCCAAAATATTGATATTCTATAACTAAGGAATTTCTTTTATTGATTTTATGTATGCGAAAACCTACATTTGTATTATTTCTATATATATGTAACTTCTTTACAGAAAAATATGTAATTAGAAATAATCTATTTCATTTATATCTTATACGTATATAAGGTCAGGAAAATATTTAATTTGGTTTAATTATCCTTTTATCTATTTTAAAAAATTAATGTGCGTCACCATCCTTCAATATTGTAGTGCATGCAACTATAAAAAAAAACAATTGACTTGTAAATGACATGAAATTAGGTAAGGATAAAGATAGATAAGAAATCAACATATAATTTCTTTTAATAAATAGTCAAATTAAGAGAGTTCATTCGGTCACTTAGGTTAATTTTGAATCAAATTATTTAAAATTAAATTAATTAAATTATTTTATTTTATTTTCGTTAATCAAATCGAATTTATGAATTTTAAAAATTAACCAATCAAATTTAATGTGGTCTATTCGGTTAATTTTTTCGATTAACCAAATAATAAATACATTTAAATTAAATTATATTTTTAATTTTTAATTTTTCATATTTTAAATAAATTAAATAAATTTATCTAATAAAATATTTAAATACCAAAGTATTATGTTAAAAACTCTAACAACTTATGAAATTAAATAATCTATTTTATATATTTTTCATTTTGTATTTGGATTATATTATATTTTGATTAATTCGATTTTCGAATCAAATTAACCAAAAATCAAAATTTTTTTAAAAATTATTTTCATTAATACATAAAAATTAATTTAATAATAAATTGATTAACTAAATAAAATCAATTCGATCGATTAATTTAATTAAAATCAAATTATGAACACTCCATAATATTTCTTAAGCTGTTAAATGTATCCTAATTAAATAATCCAAAAATGTTTAAAATTTTGACAACTGCTTCGGAATAATACAATCGGTTAATTTCACTGCAAACGAAAAATAATAATAATAACATAAAAAAAGAGAGAGAATTTAGACGGTTAGCATTGGAGCAATATTAACTATTATAATAATAATTAAATAATTCTTAATCAGAGTTCATAAACCCACAACAGATGAGGCTAAAATTTTTCATTTTAATGCTTAATTCATTTATCAATAGAAATAAAAACAGCTTCCATATATTATATATAATTAAGTTTACATTTGAATTACAATATCTCATAATCATCATACATATTATATATAATTAATTAAATTTATATTTTTTTAGTCAAATCGATCGAATTCTACGCATAATTTGTATGCATTAATCGACTAATCAATTAACAAAATCGGTCGGTTAATTCAATTTAAAAAATAATCAAATTAAACTAAATTTAGGGTTGCATCATGTTTGAAATAGACACGAGGGATGTTAATGTTCATTTATCCAAAAAAAAAAAGAAGGCTGTTTTCTTATTTGATGGGCATGGTAGCATGGGCTAACGATAAGATGTCATGGTGGGCTTGTTTGGCCTTTATATTTAAAGGGGTTTGGTTAATGTATGGTCAATCGCAGTCTGAAATGATGACGTTTGTTATTACGCGTGTTAACTAGGCAGTTTATTTTATAAATCGTGGAATCCTTTAGAATACATCAAACGGCAGGGAACATGGGACAAACCATTCAAAGGCCCAGATCAATACCACGTAAGCATTCGAATAACCAAGAACTGAGAAAATTCTGGAAACTTCCCTCTTTTCCCCATTTCGGTCGGAACTCGGAACTTAGCAACGTTGTTGGCATGTTTCAGTCTTCCGATTCAAACACTTTTTCAGGAACGTGTTGTTGATCAAATTCTTTTTTACAGATTACTGTAACTATTTGTTTTCCTTAAATTCTTGACTACTTTATCATATTGAAGATGTTTGATTTTTTTTTTTTGGTGTAAAACAGAGTTCACGTTGAGCTTTTGCAGTCTGATATTAAGATTTTGGTGTTTTGGGTGTCAGCAGTTCGTTTTCTCTTTTCATGTTTTGTTTTGGAATTGGATAAATGGAAATTAATTTCGCCAAGTAGGACAAGCATGAACCTTTGTGATTGGTTTCTAGAGATAATAGTATTGGTTTTTGACATTGTTGCTACTAAACTCTGTCTTTTCATTGTTTGATTTTTCTTTTTATAGTTATAAATTGGAATTGAATTGCAACTTTTTTTTTTAAACATTCCAAGTGCACTTTAAGCTCGTCAAGTTTAAAAAGTTGAAGAATTCTTTTTTTTTTTTTATAAGTTTCAAATCAACCCTTAAACCCTTCTACCCTACTGCTCACCTGGCTGATTTTCCTTAATGCTTTTTTGCTATGTTTTCTGATTTTCAGCGAGGGCTGCTAGTTTCTTAATATTTAGCTGTTGCTTTACCCCCAGAAGAGCTCAAGAATATAAATTCTACATGCGTGGAACTACTGCATTGTTGCCTTCAAAATACAAATTTAAATAAATCTCTCCTACGGTGGATCATGGGATTATGCCCCACTGAGTCTCATTAATGTTTTTATTTTGTTTATATTTTTAGAACCAGACTGACTTTATAACAATAACATGTCATTGTCACCAGGAACTGTGGCTACTTCAACACCAAGGAAATCGGAGAACAATGATCCTAAGGGAGGAGGGCCTTTCAGTAACGACCAGACTGAGCCTATTGTTGCCTTCAGCAAGCCTCCACCACAGCCACCTCTTCTTGGACCTTTAGGTGCTCTCTCACTCTTAGAAACATGGTCTCGCCGCGATGGTGATGAAAACTGACTGGCATTATGAAGCCGTGGCTGAAGGCTTTTTATTTTATGTACAAAGCAACCTTTTGTCAGTGTGAACTACCTGAAAAATATCTTTGAGATGTAGATCACGATTTTGATTGCCAAGGCAAGCAATCGAGCCATGAATTCCCAAATTCTAACGTAGCCTGCCACTAGTGGGCTTATGAAAGGTCCCAAAAATATGGTGTAAATCTTCAGTAGGAATTGTAGTATGACATATGGACTCTTCAGGAACCCTGCAGGATTAAAAAAATAAATTATAGGCAGCATTTCAATATGATGCTAGAGTAGGCTGTCTGTATGTTTCATGTTCTATAATGCCAGTTTTAAGTGTTTCATACATTCAGCAGCACGCGGGAACTCATCAAATATTGTAGTTACATTCTTCAACAGGACCTAAAGCAATCCACATATAAACCAACAAGATGATCAGAGAACCAAATAATTAGAAACAGGTAGCTTAATTAGAAATAATAGTTCTCAAGTTGATTACCAGCACCACTCCCCCTGGTTTGATAGGTGACTCAATAACAATCAGAGCTTTCCTGCACGTAAACAAAGGTCCTGTCAATTCGATTGGACTCTTCTTTCTTGATAATACATATGACTTAAACAAGTGCTATTACTTTATAACTAATTTTTCCCCTTCTTCCGAGCATTCATAGAAGCTGCATCCTCTTGTGAAGGGAACCTGCTTCTGGTTCCATTCTGCAACACCAGAAAATATTCCCTCGTGTTAAACAAGTTACATTTTTTAAAAACATGGGAGTTAGAGATCGTTGAAAATGGTAGATGATAGTTACCCAAGTGCCAATTTACTCCTGCTGTAAAGTCATCTGCTTCACAAACATGTTCGATGATGAATTTCACATTCTGACCCATGCTTCTTATTAGCAGATCGAAGAAATGCAGAACCTCCTGCAACAAATTTTTGTTTTAGACTATAGCATTACATGTTGTAACTTAAATAAATGAAAAGAGACAGAGAGGTAACCTTTTTCCCATAAAATGGGTTGATAAAAGAGCAGTCCTCGATGTGGCAGTCTTCTGAGATTAAACCCCCAAGTTTTTCCAAATTCTTCTCATTGATACACAAGTAGAAATGCTTGATCGTATCAGCTGCTGAAGGTGCACCCAAAATTGAATCACTATTATTGTTTGATGACATGATCAAAGAGACCCCACGGTTGTTGGTTAATTTGTTTTTTTCCTGTCTGCTAATGGCTATGCCATGCGGCTGCTTCTTCATTCTCTTTTGCTCAAGTTGACATGACTTTTGAAAAGGCAAAGGATCAAGGCCTGCTATTAGCCTGAGATATGTCCTATGCCGCAGGGCTTGCTCAGAGAAATTAACAGCAATAGCCATGGCCTAACAGGATGAAATTTGCAATGTGATTCAGGTATATATTAAACTTGTAGTTAAAGTAGCTAAGACTCGTGCCATTTTATTACATGGTAGAGCAAGGAATAAAGTAACAATTTTGTAACTTTGACACCAAGAAAAGGCTTTTTTTCATATTTTGACATGAAATCAAGGAATCTCTAATAGGGAGGTTTAGGCTGCGTTCTGCTTGCCTAGGTTAACTTAACTAGAACTCTCCTCGAGGAACCAGAAAGGGGTTCGTGGACACCTAAGTATTGCACTGAACATGGGCTAAATTGATTCCATTCCCAACTCTGCACTTAAGGATACATCGGACCCCTCCATGATGCTGCCTTAAGTTAACATGGAGATACTGCCTCTGGGATTAGATTTGGGGCGCTTTTTCCTTCCTTCAAAATGAAGTTTTTGAATGCATTAGTTTGCGATGGTTAGACGAGAGAATCTTCTAACTCATGCAAAATCTAATCTGATTACCATGCATACTTCCAGCTTTGATTATATTGTGATGCATTTCTTTTGAAATTTTCATGTTAGATAAAAAGGTATAAATGTTATGGGTAATAATCAAGAAAAATCCAAGTCCAAATGCCAGTCTTTTTTATCATTTCAACCGAAGATCAGTTATTTGCTATGAGATGTCAATTAATGGACCACTTTAACGGTAGGGATGTCACATCACAGGATATGGGTGACACGAACTGTGGGAACTTATTAATTAACTGCTAATAGGAAGTTCCCACGCCAGTGCCACAAATTTTAACGATCTGAAGCTCTGAGCCAACTTCAAGACATGCTCCATAATTTCTTGTTAAGAGCATTACTCGACTTCAATCAAATTTGTTTCTTTTAGGGTAAATTTCAAAGGATATACTTGCTATAGCCAATTCTGAATGAAGTCAAATACCGTGATGATTTTTAAATTCATTGTAAATAAACCTGGAAATCAGGGATAGGGCCGATTGAGTGATGCACCTAGAGTAGGAGGCAATGCCAGCTAAGTCTTTTGTCCATGTTGTATTGTAGAGCTTTACCCTAGAGCCTATAGACTTAAACAAGGGTGTTTTCTTCGTTTATTTTATTAATGGAATCTAGTATACCAATTCTGTCGAAGAACATTGGAATTGTGTTATCTTCAGGGTGCGTAAATCAGAATTATTGAGCTAATAATTTTATATGAGTATAGAGTATGGATGGGGATGACCACACTTTTCAAAGCTAAGATTGCTGAACGATTGCATTGAGGGCTACGGATGAAAGAAACTCAAAATTGTCTGCGTAAATTGATTCAGCTGCACATGGTTTTAAGAGAGACTGAGACAAGGTTTTCAATATCAACAGGACGGGACAAACCAGGCTTCTTAAATCAGTGAAATTGATACAAGATACTAATATCGGTCAGAGGCTTTCATATGATTAAAAAAAAGGCTGGTTAAGGCTTTACAAAAGCAGAACTCAGTTTTGAAGCTTTACGATAATGAAGATTAGTCTCTTGGAAATTATCAAATTGTCGAAAGGATAGATCTGAGAAATTGACAGCTTTAACATATTTATCCTGCTTCATGCATTAAGGTAGTAGTAATTCACAAACAAAGAAATGAAGAGAAACGGATGAAGATGTATGAATAACCAATAAGAACATCACGTTCGTCATTCTCTCTCTCACACACAGCATATGATATTCTGCCGGCAGAATCAACTGCTTGACCATGTGATGCAGAATCAAGTAGACATATTATAACAAGGCGGCTTGACCTGTAGGCTATTGCACAACAATATGACATTACAAAGGCCTCCCTGGAAACATGGACAACCATTTAATATACACCCATACAGATCCATGCTTCATAAAACCTGGGTAAATTGCATTTAAATAAACAAATCTGTCAGCCAAAATGATGAATTAGAAACAGAACATTGAAACATAACTCTATATTAATTCAACATTTCCCCCATATGCGCTCTACTTATCCACTAAAAAATACCAAAAACCAGCACCAAGATTCATAGCAGAGCACCTAGATATTTTTGAAACCCACACGTGTTGATCAGACAGGTTCAAAATCATCATGCATATTAAACTGATGCAATAACTAATTCGGCCAGTCACCAAATCATATCATGAATTAATCCTGTCTCAAGTTGAGCCGCAAGGAATCTTTTACAGCCTGACAAATTGGCTGGCATGTCACCCAATTCCCAACAATCTGCAAAAGTCTACTTCTAAACTTCTTCCCTCTTCCATATTAATCAAATCCTCACCCCTGGTATTGCGATGAGTTATAGCAGTGCTATATAAACTAGCAACCACAGCAAGTCAAGCAGGCATCGGCAATCCTCATTCATCAAACTTCTAAAGTAGGAGCCGCTTAAAGAAGGTAAAGAAACCCCGGTAAGCATCATGAACAACAAGGTGGGAGATGTTCAAGCCAGTGCAGTTGGCAGGAGCCCCAGGGGCACAAGACCTATCCCAAAGAGGGGCCAGATAAAGTCAAGAATAGCAGCAAATGCTTTTCACTCCATTGTCTCTGTGCTATCTAAAGCCAGTCCAAATCGCCATCATTTCTGTAGGAAAACATACCTGAAAGAGACCAGAACATTATAATTAGTGATCACTTTAACCATTGTATTACAATTAACTTATTATGTATTAAAGCAATTTTCTTCTTCTCCTTCATCTTTTCTTGAATGTAGTAAGTTTTTAGCTAAATTGTTTGTTTCCATTCAATGGTATTCACTTACCAAAATCCAAAAGCTCATAACATACACCAAAAGATAACATGAAAATTCATCCACTCAAATTCCATGACAGATATGGGTGATGGATTAGAATATAACATCAAAATTTATTTTTCAAAAAAAAAAAATTCAAACCCTTCCCACTCACCTCATTTCCCAAAAAGAACAATCTTGATTCTCTTAAGAGCAAAACCTGGTATTAAACCAAGTCAAAATTTTTGCCCATACCTCCACAACAATGCGATTGACAACAGCCTGCTCCTTCAGCAGGCAACGTATTAAAAGAAAAGACCTTCCCCACAAATGAGCAGAGAAAACAGAGAACAGCATAAAAGCTTTAACTCAGTTGTTTGCTCATTTACTGGAACCACTTATTTTGTCTTCCATGGTTCAAATAGCATGCTTAAGTCAAATTGAATAAAGTGTACAAATTTCATAAACCAGCCTCTGATTGGAGAATGAGCATTGGAGCTTATGTAGAGCAGGAAATAGAAGGCACAGAACAAGTGCACCTATATTCTCGGTTGCAAAAGAAATGATCATGAATCCTCTTCAATGGTCATAAATCCCAGAAAAAAGTGCCATCATGTTCCATTATCTTTGAAGCTCGTATATGTTCATACAACTTTTTCAGCTCCAAAAATATTTCTCTATGCTCAGGGTGCAACAGGTCATCAGCAAAAAAGTAATGCATGGATCCTCTTACTTGAATCCAACTAGAACCAGGTTCCTTGCAGAGTAGTTTTTCCTTCATTTCTCTTCTCACTTTTCTGACAGCGTTCCACATTCCAGCTGAAGCACAGAGATTTGAAAGAAGAATATAGGCAGATTCATTATCAGGCTGCACTTCCAGAAGTTTGCTGGCTGCAACTCTTCCCATTTCAACCTTTCCATGGATGCTGCAAGCAGATAGCAGAATCTGCCATATACGAGCATCTGGTTCGATAGGCATTTGATCTATGGTCCTCCAGGCATCTTCGAGGAGTCCTGCTCGGCCAAGCAGATCAATCATGCAAGCGTAATGTTCTAAATGTGGGATTAAACCATGACATTCAACCATAGAGTTCATGTAAGTACGTGCTTCTTGCACTAGCCCTGCATGGCAGCATGAAGTAAGAAGTCCAAGATAAGTTATCTCATCTGGTTCAATTCTACATTCAGTCATTCTATCATAAAGTTCAAAAGCCTCATTATAGCAACCATGTTGAGCATATCCTGTTATCATTGCATTCCAAGCAGCCAAGTTGTCTGAAGATGCATATCTAAAGGCCTTCTCCGCATCACCTATGCTTCCACACTTGCAGTAAAGGTCAATAACAGCAGTCTCAACAAAGCAATTGTAATTGAATCCAGATTTAAGAGCCAGGGAGTGAATCCCTCTTCCCTGTTCCAGATCTGTCGTAGCACTGCAAGTTTTAAGAATGATGTTAAAAGTTTTGCTGTCTAGTTCAAGGCTTGAAGCCACTGCGTTTCGGAAGAAATCTACACTATCAGCATGAAAATCAGCATTGACCAAAGAACTCAACATTGCATTAAGATGCATGACACTTATCTTATCAATGTCAGAAAATACCCTTCTTGATTCATCACTGCTGCCACAACTCCCATATGTTGTTATCAAGCAAGACACCACATAATCATCCAACATGAATCCACATTTAACCATATGTGAATGTATCTGCATTGCAAGGTGCAAAGAATTTGAGTCATATACCGCTTCAAGAATGCTAGCAATTGTATAACAATTCACTTCTACATTAAAAGCACGCATATTACAGAACATCTTAAGAGCAAGACTAACAAATCCATTGTCCGAATATCCAGCAATCAGTGAATTCCAAGAAACAGAATCCTGAAAAGCCATATCATCAAAAATGCACCTTGCATCATTCATTTTCCCGCACTTACCATACATAGAAATCAATGCATTGCCAACAAAAACCACTTTCAAAAGTCCTTCCTTTTGACAAACTGCTTGGATTTGGCACCCTAAACATATTATCCCCTCTCCTGCAACAGCAGATAAAACATTGATCATTGTATATTCATTCACACCCAAACCTTTCCGGCATAAACTTTTAAACAACCCAAAAGCCTCCAAACCATCAAAAGCAGCTCCTATCCTTTCAGTCCATGAGACAATATCTGGATCAGTAATTTCATCAAACATCTTAGCAGCTTCCACTTTAATTCCACACCTAGAATACATGCTCATAATAGCATTGTTAAAATGAATTGAACCACCACATAAAAATCCCATCTTTAAGCCAATCCCATGTATCTGTTGCCCTTCTTTTACATCAAACAATCCACTGATCAAACCAGTCAAGCTAAATTCATTCAATTCAAACCCCAAATCCCTCATTTCCACAAAAACTTCTCTACCCTTAACAAATTCCCCATTCCAAAAATACCCACAAATCATAGCCGTAAGAACAACATTATCAACATCCAAACATTCCCTAAAACATTTCTCGGCTGAAACCAAGTTCCCACTTTTCGCATAATTCTCAATCAACCCACTAACTACAAAAGCCCCATTTCCAAACCCCAATCTCAAACAAACGCCATGAACAATCTCATTTTCGTCTGACCTCTCACATCCTTTAACTAAAGCACTCAATGTGAACACGTCAGGCTTCAAACCCAGTTGCCTCAATTCATTAAACAACTCAAAAATGGGTCCGGTTCGGCCAAACCGAGCGAAGCCAGAAATGAGGGAGTTGAAAGAGATTGTATCAGGTTTTGAGGTGTCGAGAAAGAAGGAAAGGGCGCGTGAAAAGTCAGCATGTTTGGCGAAGTGGGAGATGAGAGTGGTGGAGAGAATGGGGTTTAGAGAATGGCCAGATTTGATGAAATGAGAGTAGATTTGATCTATGAAGAGCGGAGAGTGTAGAGAGAGGGAAGTTCTGAGAGCTTGTGGATGAAGGTTTTGGGTTATCAGGCCTTTGATGGAGAGAGTTAGAGTTGGTTTCCTCATTCATGTTTGGAAATGGATTGTGAATCGCGTTGAGAGATTTTTGAGCCAGTGCTGTTGGGGTTTATCAGAGGTTTAAAGAAGACCTAAAAATTTCCTTAAAAATGGATTTTTTTTTATCATAATTTCTTTTAATTACAAAAAAAAAACAACATTAAAGCCAATGAGACTTGGGAATTGGGAATTGTTTTGTGTAGTTTTGGATGTAATCGTGCAACACTGCTTTACTTTTTCATTTCTGATCTAATACGTTTATCATTGAAAAATAAAAACTTTAAATGAAATATTGAAACTTTTTAGTAATCATGACTTTGATTTACATTCAAATTTAGACCATAGAAGACCATTCATTCCAGCTTTCAGGGTTGGGTTACTCGAGCATGTTGTAAGGATTGAGAACTTACCTAACCTATGGTGATTATTAGTAACGAAAATCAAATTTAAATTTTATAAATAAAATATTTTATTTTCACCAACTTAAATAATTTTCGTTGACTTAATAACCATATATAAGACTTGAGAGAAACAGGTCGCAGTCAAAGAACACATTCTCAAAAAAAGTTAATTGGGCATAACTTTTAGGTAAAACATCGCCTTAACATAGCATTCGCTATCATTTTCAAAATTATTATAATAATATAATTATTAAGGTGTTTTATTATTAAGATAATTTTATAATTTGTAATTTAAAATTAATTTGTTTGATCAATAATTATTAATTTTTAATAATTAAAGATCATTTTATTTTGTATTATTAAAAATCGGTCAAATTATACTATAAATCCTTATACTCTTTGAAAATTTATAATTTAATATCAATATTATAATTTATATAAATTTAATTTTTCTACTATTTTAATTTATTAATTTTAATTTAATTACTAATTCGATTAATTTTTTGTCATTAAACATGCTAATATAGTCATTGACTTTATGATATGAATATTGATTTTGATGATGTGACATTAACTTATTGATATAATAATTAGAATTAATGAAATTAATTATTAAATTATGTAAATAATTTTTGAACTTACACAAAACTTAAAATTTAGTTCATAAACTTACACAATTTTTTATATTTAATCTTAATAAAAAATATTTTAAATATTTTAATAATATTTTTAAAAATATTAAAATTTAAAAATTACTGTAATATTTTATTGTAATATTCTATCATAATATTAAAAAATTCTATTATCATATTCTATCACAAATTTTATATATTATCATTAAATTTATCACAAATTTTTATTATTTATGTGAATTACTATTATTAATTTTATCACTATTTTTAGTTATATTTCATCATAAAATATAAAATATTTTATTAGTTTTATCATACTTTTTTGTGGCAATTATAATATATTATGATCATATGAAAAAAAAAATTTGTACAAAATTTATCGTAAATTTATTAATATACGATATAAAATTGTTATTATTTAATTTTAATAAAATTATTATATTTTTTATTAATTTATTAAATAAATTAAAATTAAAATTTCATCTCATAAGTAAAATCTGTCATGCTCAAATTATTAAAAAAAATAGCTTTTAAGAAAATATATCATAATTGTCTCTGTATCACATGTTGTTTTCATTAATTCATTAGTCAACAAAGTTTTTGTTTTATTAATACAACTAATCAACTTTTTCCTGTTAGCAACTGTTGTCGGCTGAGATGTGAGATTTCATCAATCTGATAATCCACGTGGCAGTTTCTGTCAGAGGACCCCATACCCCCAACAACCATCCCAATCGACGTACAATCATCATCAAAGAACAACGGCAAAAGTTTCACCCTATAAATATACAACCCACTTCGATGGACGGTCCAGATTTATCCATTATCTTAAGGTGGGAGCCATACCCAAAGCACTCGGGCCAGTTCACGTGCGCCGTATGCCCGTATCCAAGAGCAAAGGGCCCCTACCATGCAGGCACCGGTTTCTTTCTGGCCTTTGCCAGCCTCTGTGAGGTAAAAAAAGTTCCTGTTTTCAAGGCTTGATGCGAGTCTTTATTTTAGTTTGGCCCATTTGAAATTTTGTTTTATAATTATTTTATCAATTTCAATTTATATTTTTTAAGTTATATGATTTAAAATTTGCACAACTTAAAATAGGACGAACTTTCACTATTGATAGGATTAAATCACTTAGCTTTTTTTTTTTTTTATCATTTTAATTATGAAAATACAAAATGTTAAATGAAGGGGTTTTGATATAAAATTTTAAATTTTAATTATAAAATACATTGTTCTGTGCAATAAAAATATCTTCATCCATCACTTAAATTGAGCCTAAAATAAAAATTTCTTCCATTCTTTCATTACTAACTAGACTTCCAAGCGCATCGCAAATCTAGCTAAGCTCAAATTTTCTGTTTACATCTCCTTACCTCATCTAAAGAGAATGTTCCTTTTATTTGAAGTCTTTTTTTTTTTTTTTGGTCAAGTTTAGTCCAATAAACTCTAGCACTTAATTTGATTCTTTGATTAACCCCTAACAATAGCCAAAACACAGAACCAACACTTCTCCCGAAATTAAATATTTACGATTTTAAGCAAAAAAGGCTTAGTGGAATTTGAGCTGGTCCAGATGTAAAAATTATGGACCGGTTAGTTGATAAGAAAATGACAATTGAAGTGAAAGGTTGGTTTCCCAATAATTTTTGATTAGTTGCAGTTGGAGTAGGACCATAGTCCAGTCTAGTCAATTAATGATTTTCATTAAAATGGCCAAATTCGGATAAATAAAAACATTATGATTATAGAATATAGATAGAGCTTGAGTTTCATCCTCCACCAGCTTACTTCATGTAAATTATAATCCTCCAATATTTTCATTTCTTCTTTTTACTCAAAAAATGATGATTTTGTGACTTTTTTTTTTTACATTATAAAAATAAAATCTTAATATAAATACAAAAAAAAATTAATTCAAAATCGAACTCTCGATATTTTTTTAAATATTTTTAACTATTAAATTAAAGATTTGATGATGATTTTACGACTTCTCACCATATTCTAAAATTACACTAAATCTCATTATTTTTTAGACATCGATACAGAATAAATTTTGCTCCCAAACGAACTTGTATGCATTAATATCGTGTTGAAGTATACCAACTATTATTCTGCACTATTTTATTTAGATATCTTGCTGTTTTAGATTAATGCAGTAAGTTTATTGATCCCAATTTATTTAATTTATATAAAATTAATAATTCGCATCAAAATCTTTTCAAATCTATAAATTAATGTTCAATTAGCATAAATATACTTAATTGGAGTGTGTGGGACAACATATTGATATTAAATCTAAAAAGCAAACTGATTAGCTTAACAAAGCAGCAAAAAATGATGAAATTTAAATCCAAATGGACCTCCTCACTCCTTCACGCGGGATCAAGAAATCATTGCCTTTACGATCGTGCATGAATACATAGGAATCCCGAAAAATAATGAAAAGGTCTACAGTATACGTCAATTATTAGTCAATATAAATTTGAATGCTACGTTATAGGATTAGGTTTTCTTGGCCCTTCACAGCATACCGTCACATTTTAATTATCCCCAATTATAAATGAAAAAAATACTAATTCAACCCTACCCTTTTCTTAAACAGAAATACTTTTCTCTTTTGGAATTCATCTCTTTCCCTTCAATCCCTTCTCATCTTTATCAAGCAATTCCCAATCACTGAAAATTCAATCTTTGTTCTTAGCTTTTCATTTTTGGCCTGAGATGGAAGTTGATTACTGAAGAAACAAACTCTGCAGAATTACCCGTGTTTTAGTACATAAATTTCCCTTGTTTTTTTCTGTAGCCAATTGTCGGCTGATACATTTTATTTCCCGCCCTTTCGAAAACGGAAAAAATTTAGATAAAAATTTTTTTAGATGCAATTTGTGAAAATTTTTATAAAAAATAATTAAATAAAAAGTAATTACCCGTTTTTTACTACATAAATTTCCCTTGTTTTTTCTGTAGCCAATTGTCGGCTGATACATGTTATTTCCCGCCCTTTGGTAAACGGAAAAAATTTAGATAAAACTTTTAAGACGAAATTTATGAAATTTTTTATAAAAAATATTAAATAAAAAGTAAAAATAAAAATAAATAAATTAAAAAATATCGTTATATAAATTAAATAAGTAAAATTAAAAAAAATTAATAAATTTTGATATAAATATTTATAAATAAATATTTTTATTAAAAATATTAATAAATTTTTATCATTAAATAAATATAATTTAAATTTAAATTATAAATAATAATTTTTTATAATTTTTTATTTTATATTAAATTTTATTAATTAAAAAAAAATCGTAAATTTTACTTTAACAAATTCATCTAAAATTTCTCATAGAAATCAAGGGCGGTCACCGGCAAAATCTTGGACCACATTGCCACAGACTAACTCGCTCACTCGGTTCTATAAATCCTACCGAATCACACCCAAAAAACCAAAAAATAAAAATAAAAATAAAAATAAATATAGTATTTATTTGCTGGTTGAAGTGCCCGTTCAGGAGTGGCCTGCAACCTGGCAACAATGCAAGCTATCAACTTTGCTTGTCTGCAACAAGAAACACCCCCTGTTTCTTTTCATAATCTCCATCTTCCTCACTTGTTTGTCCTCCATTTTCTCTTATACCCCAATTTCATTTGATTTTCCTTTCTGGGTACATTCTCATCTCTCAAACCAGAAACATTTCCTTATTCTCTTACCAAATCTACAAACTTCTTCCCATTTTTAGATTCTCCAAACAAAATCTAATAGTACATGCAAAACCCCCTAAAAAAATCTCTAATTTTTGAACCAAACTAAAAAAACAAAGAAAAAAAAGGAAAGCAAAATGAAAGACTCGAAGAAAGATTCAGAGAAAGTAGTGTGGGATCAGATTCAGATGAGAAGCCCATCAGGCAACCCACTTGTTCCCGGACCTTCGACCCGACCCCTTCCTAAGCTCATGGTCTGGTTAATCCTCTTCGTTTCAGTTACCTACGTTGTCTACACTCTCAAGCTCTTAACAACCTCTGCTCAACAAACCTGCGACGATTCCCCATTTACTTCAGCTCTTCATCGCTCTTTACTACATCCCAACAAAACAAGCTTGACATCTTCACCGTTGGTTTCCAATCAAACGGGTGAGACAACGCCATTCCATCATCGCCATCGAGATGTCCGAGAAAAACAAGTGGTAGTAGTACAAATGCAACAGGCTCCACCGAAACCGAAACCGACGGAAATTCACGACGTGGTTTTTGGAATCGCAGCTTCTTCCAAGCTATGGCAGCAGAGAAAAGATTACATCAAGATTTGGTACAAGCCAAACCAAATGCGAGGCGTAGTTTGGCTCGACAATCGCGTGAAATACTCTCCCGAAGACAGGCAAACCCTTCCACCAGTTCGAGTCTCCAGCAACACTTCCAACTTCGCTTACAAGAACCGGCACGGTCACCGGTCGGCGATTCGGATCTCGCGGATCGTGACGGAGACGTTAAGGATGAAGATGGATAATGTCAGGTGGTTCGTGATGGGTGATGACGACACCGTTTTTATCACGGATAATCTGGTTAGGATTTTGAGGAAATATGATCATACTCAGTATTATTACATTGGGAGCTTGTCAGAATCTCATATTCAAAACATTTTTTTCTCCTACGGCATGGCTTATGGCGGCGGAGGCTTTGCCATTAGCTACCCACTGGCCAAGGCTTTGTCAAAGATGCAAGATCGGTGTATTCAGAGATACCCCGGTTTGTATGGTTCCGATGATCGAATGCAAGCTTGTATGGCTGAACTCGGTGTCCCACTCACTAAGGAACTCGGTTTCCACCAGGTCGGTGACTCAGTTTTGTCACTTTTGAGCTGTTAAAGTGCATTATTTTAGGGTTTCTAGACTTTTCTGATATGAGTTTCGTGCAATTTAATTTTGGTAACTTAAAAATGTTTGTATCAGTATCTCTAATTATGATTTAGGTTAGGTTACTTGTCTGAATTTAATGCTAGGGGAATTAATGAAGTTATTAGTGAGAGTGGATTTTCATTTCCCGAGATCTTACATTTGGCTTTGGGGAAAATTCAAGGCGAAGATTAATGGGCACCGCCACGTTGGGCGGTCAAGTTCTGGCTTTTTGCCAGTAATTTTGGTGTATCAAGTATGAATCTTTGTCTGGGTGATTAGCTCAATGCTTGTTCATCGTCCGCACCCGGGGTTCGGAGACGTTGGTGACGATGTGGGACCCACGCGTTGGTAGGGTTTTGACGTGATTTTGTTTTCTCACATGTTTGTCGTCTTTTGTTCAAGCGCTAATTCTGGTACGTGGTTCCACGATCTTTTGACTGGAGGATGGAGCAGGTTTGTGGCCCTTTTGGGTGGGAGAGACGTCTTGGGTGTTTGTAACTGGTGGAGCCAATTGCATTAGTGCAATGTTTTCTGCCCTGGCCTGATGATTTTTTCCCCCAATAAATCATGCTAATTATTGCTACACTAGTTGTTCGGGATAAAGTCTTTGTTAACCACTAGTTTTTTTTTTTTTTGGTCGACAAAAGTTTAGGAGCAAGAGAGAAGTAAGAGTTATAAATCACCTGTCAATAAAAGATCATGAGAATTCAAATTTGGGTGTTTTGCATCTAGATCTTAAACCTTAACTACTTGTGACAACCCTTATTGATCTTGTTAACCACTAGTTAAATGTTAAGCTCTATGTTACCCGGAAAGTGATTGATACGGGAACCAGAACACAAAGACTTACTCGAAAAGTGGGTCGAGAGGGGTAGTGTTCTTCAGTTCATTTAATAGAAATGAAATACAATTAATCAGACTTTTTTTGGATTGTTTTATGTACATATATTTATTATATTATTGTTCTGAATTTTATGTTTGTATATATAGTTCAATTTAATTAATATAATGTAGAAATATCAAGTATTAATCAACTTACATGATATCAATGGTAAAAAATTGTATGATAAGATTATTAAATTTTAGATGATAGTATTAGTGTTAGTGTTTTTTAGAGATAGAAAGTGCTAGTAATTAAAATTACCAAAAAAACTCTACCAGTCACCTTCTTCATCAATAATGATGAACTCTTAAATGAAGAAAATAAATATATATATATATATATATATATATATATATATAAAGCTAAACTTTAATAATCTCTTTCACGCAAGATTTCTTTTATTGTTTTAGGCTGGCTTCTCTGTTATGTCTTCTCTCTTATTGTTTTCATCATCAACCTAATTCTTGATTGAAAAATGTGTTTGAGAGTCAAAATTGTTGAGATAATTTCCTCATCCTTGATGGAAAGACGTGCTGAAGAAATTCATAAGCTGCAGCAGCAGCAACAGCAACAAGGAGAAAAAGAGAAAAAACCAAAACCTCACCAAAACCAGATGATGTGTTAAAGTGTCTTTCAATTTTAGATTCTTTCATTTATGTTTTTCCTGGTTAGCTTATCTTTGTTTTATTCTTCAATTTCTATGATCTTCTATAAATAAATGTATTCAGCAGATTTAGTGAATTGGATTGCAAACAGTCTGCGATTGGCATTGCAATAACCAATTCAAAAACTGTAGGGGGAGAGTGAATTATGGTAACACAGGTTTAGCTCATTACTTCACTAGATTAACAATGTCATTAGACTAAATTACGAGTTAAGGAATGATATTGTTTTATCCTGATGTATTAGTAATTGGTTTAAGTTGGTATGAGGAATTAAATTTCTTGATTAAGTATGAGGCCTTCACACCAACCCCCATATAGAGGAGGAGCACGCAAGTCAGTTGTTTGCTGTGTTTGCATTTGTAGGTTAGGTTTCTTTATCAATGAGGAAAGTGGCCTTCCTGGCTATTTTTCAATTCCACTTAGATGTTCATTGTTAATACTGAAGCTGGATATTCATTACAGGAACAACTTTTCCACTAACATTAATGCTATGACAGCTGTACTTGAGATTTTGTCATTGAAAATAATATCTAATCCTAAGTGTTTCTTGTTTGTTAATGGGAATCAGTATGATGTGTATGGGAACTTGTTTGGACTCCTTGCTGCGCATCCTGTCACGCCATTGGTGTCACTGCATCACCTTGATGTTGTTGAGCCTATTTTCGCCAATGTGACCAGGGTTGAAGCCCTTCAGCGGCTTATGTTGCCTGCAAAGCTGGATTCAGCAGGGATCATGCAGCAGTCAATTTGCTATGACAAAACAAGGAGTTGGACCATTTCAGTTTCATGGGGTTTTGCTGTTCAAGTTTTTAGAGGAATCTTTTCTCCACGGGAGATGGAAATGCCTTCAAGAACATTCTTGAATTGGTATAGAAGAGCAGATTACACAGCATATGCATTCAACACCCGACCTGTTAGCCGAAATCCATGCCAAAAACCTTTTGTGTTTTACATGTCAAGGGTGAGAATGGATTCTAAACTGAATAAAACTGTGAGTGAGTATGAGCGGCACCGTGTTCCTCATCCTCTTTGCAAATGGAAGATGGCTGATCCTGCTGAGCTTCAAATGGTGATCGTCAACAAGAAACCGGACCCACATCTATGGGATAGAGTAAGTTGCTTTAGCATCACACTCTTTGTTGTTTTATTTGCAATTCTGCATCAAAAGATCAATGTAATCTCTAGTCAGTCATGCACCAAAAACTCATTCATATAGTTTTATCTAGGGAAGGCTGTTCCTAGGGATCTTCCCAGGAGCTTTCTACTTCTGAACTTAATTAAAAGAAACCAAGGTGAACCAATTTGTTTAAGTACAAAATAAGTGACATAGGCTTGGTTTTTTTTCTTTTGGCAGTCACCCAGAAGAAACTGTTGCAGGGTCATGGAATCCAAGGAGCCAGGAACCATGGTGGTGGATGTGGGTGTATGTAAGGATGGTGAGATTAGTGAAATATAGTGATTAAAGTTGATTGTTTTAGGTGTTAGCATCTTGTTTTTCTTCTTTCATCCATAATCACTGTCTTGTCCTATTCTTTTTCTTAATTTATCCCCAAAGTCTCCAATTTTGTATCTGTCTGCAAGAGTAGAGACATTGTCATTAAGGAAACAAACAAAAAATGTATGTTGTATAAAAAATTGAACTAGCCCATACAACTTTTATACTTCTCTTTTGGTACTAGAAAGAAGTCTGGTATCAGGCTATCAGTCTTTTGTTTCTTTCTCAATGGGACTACCGAATTTCTCATCAGACGGATCTATGTGCATCGCTCTGATAATAGGGCAACAGCATACATTGCTAAAGCATCTAGCGACCAGAATCATTTCTTTTATGAAAGGAACAAGTCATGTAAAAACAAAGAAGAAAAGTGATAAATTTGTCTATTGCTTTAAGAAAAAGTTTTGAATCAATTCAATTATGTTCTTCTATTTTCTTATTTATTTTTCTAGTAAGTACTTGATGGAGAATGGTCATGCTAAAAGGGGAAGAGACCAAAGAGGATGTCAAATGAAACTTCAATTAAAAAGGATTTTACTGGCCGGTAATCTTGTCACTCAGAAGTCAAAAGCAGTGTAGCATTACATACACGTTTGCATGCCTTGGTATTTACTTGTTGTCTGTTCCATCTCGGTTGATTCCCTGAGATGAGACCCACACCTGCTTAAGTCCGGTGTTTGTGGGAGTTTCTGGCAGAAATTCACCGTCGTTGAGAGTATAGATATAATTTTCTTTTATTAAAGTTTTTATGGGTGGTTGTACAGTACTTTTTCTGAATCCTAAAGGGGGGTTAAAGAGCAAAATAACAGTTAGGGAAAGAATATGGTTCATGGAATGTAACACTATCAGATAAATTTTTGCTGCCACTAGCAAGTGAAGAAGCGGAAGTGGAAGCGAATCAAGGCAGGGTACTACTGGAACCTGAGAGTGGGTCCACGATGTGTTAAATTAATAGTGGATCACCAATGCTAGATCCTTGATCCAAGAAAAGCTTACATTCTTACTAGCTCAGGATCAGGATTTGGTCTAGTGAGGTTAATGTACATTTAATGATGATCTTTCCCAAAGAATCTCTAGTGCTCCTTTTTCGGAGGATAAGTATAGATTTTGTTATGATTTTAAAATACAATAAATATTAAGAACTACATCTTAGCAATTAGGATGATCAATTGATTGTCTCATTGTATTGGCCTACCGGGTTTTACTCAAATTAAGAGCCAAACTACTAAACTTTTATGTTTGAGAACTAAGTTTTAATCTAAATCAATCCTTCATCTCTTAAGTGGATTTTTGTAAAATTAAAATTCAATTTATAATATTTGTAAAATTTTTTTGTAAGTTCTTTTTAATGAAAATTTTTTTTATTATGTTTGATATTATATTAATCATTCACCTCTTGATCTATGATTTATTGGTTAAGAGATTTTGAAGAAAGCTAAATTATAATTCAATCGTCTTTTTTTTTTTTTTTTGTAAAAATTTTGCTCTTTTATGAAAAAAATATTATTAATTAATTTATTTTAATTCGAACGAATCGTAAGATGTAAGTTCTTTCAGTATGGCAAGCAGAAAGTGGAGAGTACAATAAACAACAACGTGCACCGATATATTTATTTAGTAAAATTCGAAGCACGTAAATCATTAGCCTTTCTGTTTGAAAACAGTTATTATATATATTAATTTTAAATATGGTACGATAATATAATATAAAAATAATAAAATTATATTATATGATATAAAAAATATGAATATAATTTCTTTGTTTGCAGTAATCACTAATTGATAAATGATGTAGGGTCAAGTGAGCCGAGGGGGGTGGTTGGGTTTTCAACTTTCAAGCAGTGTTGAATTATTAGGCTTTAAAAACGTGTCGGTCAGTAACGGCAAGCGCGTGTAACGGTGTAACCCTGCTCCAAGTTTTACAACACCGTCCAATCAGAAGATGATATTAAAAGCAAATCCACGGAAACAAACCAGCCAAACCGTATGGAATGGGGTCCCATCCACCTGCTGGCTGCAGTGCAGATTGTTGGATTTCGAATGGACAGACAGAAAAGGATGTATCGTAAATCGAGGTGCCATTACACTGGGTCCACCACATCACGGAATGCCTCGTCATCACGCTTCTGAATTATTTCTTCAAGATCATACCTATCTTTTGACCCGTGGTTAAGATCATTTAAAATGTGCACTTACCCATATGGAGAATTTATTTTATTGGTTCTTATTATTTTATTTATTTCTTTTCCTATATGAAATGAAATAAAATAATTACAAATATTAACATTTTTAATTAACACATTTTAAAATATATTTCAAAATTTCTCATCCGAACACTAATTACATTCTCATAATTTAGGAGATAAGGAACAGACGAAATCGATCACTTTCATTTTCTTCTAAATAATGTGGAGATTCGCGCTCTATAAGGCATAAGCATGCACGAAATATGTTGGAAATTTCCTTTCCTCATTAATGTTGCTTTTCTACACGTGAATGAAATGGAAATTACTATTACAAACTTTCAACCAAAAAAAAAAAACTCTACAAAAAAAGTGAAAAATAATTTCAAGGACCAATGGATTTATTGTGGGATTCTCTGCCCGGAAGGCCCATCTCTTTCATGTTCGGATGTATAAAACACAAACCCATGAAGCATTGTGCTCATGCCACAAAGGCCCAAAGCCTATAAGCCTTCGCTTTGGGGTTCTTCAGAAACTTGGAAATTGCAATTTGCAAATTGTTCTGCTAAATTTATTAAAGGTAAACGACAAATGAAATGACAAACTGAACTAACCAGTTGAGTGTCAGTCATTTTGGAATATTGTTCTATCAGGGCAAAGTTGCAGTTTCTGTCTTTTCCTTTTCCTGAAACTGAAACTTTTGTGTTTCTTTGATCAATGTGGTCCAGTTGACAAGCCCAGGACATAAAAGTGGAGGACCCAATAGTATCATACCTAAAAACTTTTTTTCTAGTACAACACACTCAACAAATTAATATGGCTTAGTTGAGCTCTAGATTGCATGCATAAGAGATTATAATAATTCATAAAATAAAGTTTCTGATTAATCTATTAATTAATATTGGCTTAATTATTGGCCAAGTTATGTCTCAATTTCTAAGTGCTTTTTTCCTTTGGCTTTAGAGAAGGGAAGATTAATTTTACATTATGAACCGTATATTCCTCAACTTTGATTTCTAGCTACCAAATGAATGATAATTAAGTACTTAATTATAATTCATGAAAAAAGAATCATGTTATACCTAATTAAAATTGGTGTGTGAAAAAAAATAATTTTTTAGAACTAAAATTAATAACTTATTTAACTTAACATGGTAAATACGTATGCACACTGATAAAACAAAATAAAAAAATATAATTCAAAATTTCATTATGAAAAACATTTGAAACAACAAGAATATATATCAAATTGGTTGTCGGGCCATTGCTAAGTTGAAAGAATACGAGAACGTAAAATAAAAAAAATAAATTTAAAATTTAATTTAATTGATTCATATAATTTTTTTAAAATATAATATTTAAGAATTTAACACATAATATTCAAGAAAATAGTGCATTTAATTCTCTGAACCATCAATTACTATAGAGATTTGCCTTGGAAAGAGAAAAAAATCAAGGTTATCATCTCTTAGTTTAACCTACTTAGATTGTACGTATCGGACATGCATGGAATTGCATATATGTGTAGGAAATATTACTATCAGAAATTTGACAAAAGAACTGGGGCATAAATTCAAATTCTTAAATAACACCAAAATATATTCTATATCTATTTTTGATATTTAAAAGTTTAGTTGAGGGGAAACTATCACATTCTTAGTCTAGCATGTTCAGCAAAGACTTGTATTTAACTTACACATCATTCATCAAGAAAGATTTCTAATAACAAAAATCAAATTTAAACTTTACAAATAAAGTATTTGATTCTTATCAACTCAACCATTAACTAAATATATATATATATATATTATATACTTCAACCATATCTGCACTTAAAATGATCTTCATTTTACTCATTCATGAGAGAGACAGAAAGGAGGATGTGGTCTGGCATGCATGCCTTTTGTATTGTGATATTAACAGATAGCTATGGATTTATATCACATAATTATTATTATTCCCTCTCAGAGTGAATTCGAAGTATTCCTTTAAATTTTGACAAAAGCTAGCAAGAATATTCTTTCAGCAAAAAATGGAATTCAAGTCTGTTTTTTTTCAGTTCCAAATATCCCTGCAGAAATTATAACACATATGATACATTTTTTTTATAGACCATTAAAGTTTTCAGCTCCAGAAAATAAAAAACATGTCAAAAATCAAGATTTATTCCTTACTTCAAATCCCAGCAACTGCCATATGACCATTTGAAGGTTAAGAAAAGAAAACATGGAGTCATAGATCGATGGTTTAATACAGTGATGTTTACGCCTTTTTGTTTTCTTCCAAAACAACCATGCGAGAGAATAATGCTTTTTTTCAGGATGTCAACTTCAGATGAAAAGGCAAGTTAGGCATGCATTTTTTTGATAACTTTTTTTTTTTTGTTCACAATTTACAAGAATGATTAAAACATTTTAATAATATTTGAAAGGGGTTTTTAAGAAGAATGATTAAAACATTATATATGTCAATATTATTGCAGTCATTATTACAATGCATGCAATTACAAAGCCTTTTTTTTTTTTGTCTTCTTTGTTTTCTCACTTGAATTTTGAAGTAAATTAAATAAGCATTTATGTCATGCATTGGATCATTTAATGCAACTAGTAATTCAAGGTTAATCTCCCATGCTTTTAGTAGATTATTTTGCCTATTGTGTTTAAGGCAATGCTAAGCAAGATTGAAGGGTGTACTTAGTAGGGCACAATCTTCATGCAATAACTTCTTCCTTTAATAAAACCGTTTTTAGATATCTAGCAATGAACTGTAGACCACAGCTAAAAATAGAACCTGCAATTTGGGTTTATTTGCCGTGTAGGTGTTAGGGCTCATGTTTTAAACACAAAATGTCTTTATTAGGTTAGAAACAACATCGTCCCCATCTCTTCTCGATGTTGGAGTCGTGGCATTTTCTTCCATCTAATTGTGCAACACCTTCGTTGTACCGGCTCTATTACCTGCAAGGGAGAGAGATCTATTTTAATCCTGGCCTACCGCGACCCTAGTATTTCTCATAAGGGTCCACATCAATGAAAAATTGATAGATTTTGATACCATTTGTCATGAACTCATGTTTTTAATCCAAAAAACATATCAATTAACTGAATAAAGATCATCACTTATAAATACAAAACCATCTTTGTTTCTAGATGTGGAACTAGGTAGTTATAATTTTTGTTGGGAATAATATTTGGTTTCTTTTATTGATGTTTTAATGTAAAACTTGTACCTTAAACAATGGAAGAAATCAATCAATCAATCTTGTGGAAAAGCGTAATAGCATTTTCACACTATATATCTAAAGAGGAAGTTAGTAAAGGCACCTTTTCATTGGCAAAAGCAATAGCATAAACCATGCCAAAGTTGACAAATCATAAAGCAGGCAATTCTTATGGACATAAAATTTCAGCTTCATGGAGATGAATTAGGGACCACAACAATTGAAACGATCACGATATCCTGTAATTCTTGTGGGGAATTGTCTTAATCTCCAAAACTAAGGACCCCCAACCAAATTATGTTGCTAAATTAATTTGTCTTTATAGAAAAGGAAAAAAAATAAAAAATATCTAGATGAGCCCCAAACAAATTTTGAAAGTTCAATTGAAACAAGAACCACAAACGATTCAATCACTTAGCTTGGGCAAAGAGAGAGAGAGAGAGAGAGAGAGAGAGAGAGAGAGGCCTTAAAAACTGATATAATAGATTAAAGTTTTTATCAAAAACAGATTCCACCTAAAAGAGTATAGAAATATCTGTATAACCTTGCATCAGTAAGTGGCAAATTCCAATAGCCTTGCAGTAAATAAACATGTTCTTCCAATTGAAAAGAGCTACCAGCCAGTGAACTAATGTTCATAGTATATATCCAAAATAACAAGTGTAGCTTTATGTATATATATGTATTCAGTATCTATCTGTGCCACCTAAACTATTTATCTGCCATTTCCATCCTTTGATGAGAACTAAATGAACCCCACCAACAAATCTGATTTAGCCCTTTTTTCCCTTCCTTGTTATCCTGCCAAATCGTGAAGCAACTGTGCTCCCATCAAGTTCCTGTAAGGCAAATGCTGTCCCTCACCATCCAAAAGTGAGTACTGAACTGGTTGACAATCTTCAATGTGGTCTCTAGGGTAAAAGAGAGAACTTTGTGATGCCGGCGAGAAGGCTAAGCTCACCCCAGTCCCACCATGTTGTTGCAACCCTAACGTCAATGACACGCCTCCACCATTGAAACTTTGATTAGCATTGTGATCACTTCCATAAGATACCCCACCCGTTGTGTGGTGACCGTAGGAAGAGAAGTCCAATTCCATGGCACCATAAGTTCCAAAATTTTGTTGCTGCTGATGCAAGTGCTGGTTTTGAAGGGCTTTGGCACTACTTTTTGCATCATTTTTATCTGTATTAGTGATAATGGAAGACAGACATTCCGAATCAACTCGAACGAGCTGGTCCGGGGTGGGTTTCTGATCTGTGGGAGGAATATTTTGATTAAGCCGGCTAATATTATCATCACCATCAGTAACTCCATCTGGGGAGGCCATGTTGTTTTCGTGCTCCTTCGTTTCTTCCAAGTACATTTCTTCCACCATTGGTTTCCATAGTCTCACTCTAGCATTAATGAACCAATTGGATACCTATTGGAACACGAGACAACCAAAAGGAATCATATATACATATTTATATATAATATGATCAAATATAGTAGTATAATATTATGGTATGATAAAAATACAATAATTGATTATGATTATAATAACTTAAGATCCCAACAAAATATGCTCCATCGATAATATAAATTAATTCAAGGGGACTCCAAAAATAAATATAGATTATAGACGGATGTGGACATGCCTGGCTTCTTGAGAGACCGGTTTGGCGGGCTAAGATATGTTTATCAACATCGCTTGGATACCTGCAAAGGTTTTATTCAAGGAAATAAAAAAGTTATAATTGAAACTTAGCAGCCATGGATAGTACTTCGATGACTTGTTTGTGAGGGAAAGATGGGCCCTAGATGTATATGTCAACAGAATCAAATCCACAAAAAAATAACAGAGAGAAGCTGACCTAAGCAAATATATAGGGGGAAAGAAGCTAAATGATTGAAATAAGATGACAAAATGAAATGTGGAATCTGAATGGTGATGGGTAGAAACTAACAAAGATTGCATTGCTTTTGCAAGAAAAATGATTGAGACTCAACATAAGAGAAAACTCACACTATTGTAACAACTGCAAGAGTTGTTTTCTTATTCTTAGTAGAAAAAATTGGTACTATCACAAAATCTACTTTGTATTTTACGTATAAAAAACCTTGAATCTTTGTAAAGAGAGTTGAGAAGGGGAGAGAGACAGAAGAGATATTTACGGGTGAAGGAAATGCTCAAACAACCAAGCTCGAAGAACAGAAACAGATCTTTCCGGCAGGCCTCTTTGGGGTCGCCATGGGTGGCTCTCCATCATGCTCATCTGTTGAAAAGCCCTTTGTTGCCTCAAAGCTTGATCAAGGATCCTTAGACTTGGTGTTTCGCCTCTCGTTGTGCCCGGTGCAACTGGGTCTTTTTCTCCCATGGCCTTCCTTGTAGCCTGAATCTGACTAACAATCCCATCCCTTAAACATCTAAAATGCCTTGACATGGCCTTGGAGGCTAAAGCTGAATACACTGATGCTGCCCCGGTGCCAGCCACAGCTTCGAAGGAAGATACCACGGCTTTCATTTGATCACAGTAGTGCCTGTATCTTCTATCCACCTAAAGATAAATGAGAAGATAGAAAGGGATAGGAGTGAAAGAGAGTTTAATTTTCTGTTAATACATGTTAACGAAAAGAAATGAGAGTTACAGCATGGAATACATACAAAGGCAGAGTAATAAGATGAAAATTAAGCTGACATGAAAAGAAAAGGAATAGAGATTTCTGAAAGTAAATGAAAAGCAAGAATTGTCACGATGTGGGCATTTATGGGGAGGCCCCAAGTCGCTAAATTAGTTCAAGAAAAGATATTTGGAGACCCCCATTTCAATCAACCACCCAGTAAAATTTCAAGACTTTATTTTTCATAATTTGGATATTAAAAAAAAAATGTTCCTTTTGTTGAAAAGATGGGAAAGAAACGATCTTTGAGGACTAAGAGTTGAAATCGAAACACATATATCAAACCTCTTCCAGCATTGAAAGCAGCTTGGTTTTTCTTTTCTGTAACTCCATGAAGTCAAGGGAATAAAGGGTTTGCTTCCTTGAAGAGCTAGCTTCATTCTCATCATCCCACTGTTTGGTCTTATGGGTCTGCTTTTGCTTTGATGCATCAATTTGCTTTGTTCCCAGGCTGCAAAACTCATTCAAAAGTTCCTGTGCAGGACCCAAGTACTTTGAACTCCTGAGTTGAAACTGCTGTAGATTTGCAGCTTTTCCCAGAAATCCGTCTTGGATCATTTGTTGTTGCTGTTGAATATTAGCAGGCTTTCCAAAGAAACCATCTCTAGAACTTGAACCAATAAACCTCATATCATCTTGCTGATCATGATTACTGTGACTGGCCGTTTGTCTGAGTTCAAAAGACTGTAGCCCGATGCTAGTAGGATTACTTGATGAAAGAGAGAGTGAAAGACCTTGACTGGGCCTCTCGTTTCCTTCACAAGGAAAAACACACCTCAAAGAAGAATCATCAACAAGCAACCTGTTCTCTTGCCAAGGGCCTGACTCAGGTCCAACTATTAGATTCTCTGTACTAGTTTCAGATATCCCAGTTGTGAACTCAGGTTTGTGGAATTCATGTTGATAGAAATCGCTCGTTGACTCGTTGATTGTCTTCGAAGAAGAAGGACCAGGGTTGCTTCCATGTTTGTTGAAGAACCCTTTCCACATGACCGTGTTGCTGTCACCTTGTTGCTGTAGATTCTTTGAAAACCCTATCATTTCCATGCCTGTTGTCAAATTGAAGATCTCTGGGTTGGTTTCAAAGCCTTGGATCTGATTCACCAGATGGGATTGCATGGTTGAGTTACCAGATGAAACATCTGAGTAACAAAAACCAGTTGATGAGACAATATTCCTTGATTTATCTTCACACAGTTCTCTAGCCATGTAATCCAAATTAAAATTTTTTTTTCTCTTCCTTTTCTTCCTTTATGTTTATGCTTCTCCTGCACACTAGCGTCTCAGATACTGATCAAAAGTTGATGCTGATTCTGCAACTACAATTCCATCAAGATTCACTCCAGGAAGAAAGGGAAGCCATAAACCAGCTAGTATTAAAAGCACAGTTATGAATTAGCTCATAAACAAAGATCAATTTTTGTTAACAAAATTATGAGACTTTAAAAGTACCCTTTTGATCATACAAATAAACAAAAAGAGAAAACTTTGGTTTCATTTCTTCTTTTAGACCGAACTTAATATAAGAGAGAGAAAAGAGAGGCCTTACCAGTTATGGAACAAGTTGAAACTAAGTTCAAAAATCAACAGAAATGGACTTTTCTTAGTGGTGGATTGATGAAGAAGAAAAAGAATTAGAAAAATTAGATGGTGAAGAAGGAGATGATGATGGTGATGAGAAAAGCGAAGCAAAGGGTTCCTCTTTGGCGTTTTTTTTTTCTCTCAAATTTGTTCTGTTAAATAGCCAACATGGTGTGCCATAGAAATACAAGCCAGGCAAAAAGATCAGATATATCTTCCTTAGAAATAGAAGATCAGAGACAGAGGTGATGATGACCTTCTATATAGACCTTTCTATATACCCCTGATCATAGTTTCTCTCTCTCCCTCTCTCCTTTTCTCCACATGATTTGCCTTTTCTTTTCTCTCCCTTTCCTCTCTCTCTAGCTCAAGTGGGTCAATGCATTTTGTACGTACAATACATACAAAATAGACTTCCAAGTAAGAAAACCAGGAAAATCCCCCCTCAATTATTTCATAACCAACAATAAAATATACTTATAATCCAGAAAAAAAATAGTACTAGTTAAATACCATTTAACAATGCTACCATATATTAATTAATGTTATTATTTTAAAGACCTAAAATAATGATTAAAAAGATAAAAACCCCGGCTTTCCAAAGTACTGATGCAGCAGCTCCCTGGACAACAACAGAAAGTAATGATCGTCCTTTGCCTGCTACACAAACAACAAGCCGCCACATGACCAGCCTATCTTCTTATCTCAATCAAACCCTTACTCCTAATCCTAATTCTAATCCTAAGAATAATCCCAATATCCAATACTAGAGAAGAGAAGAAAATTAGCCACCCAAAAGGCCAAAACTACCTACGAAAAAAACTAATACTGATACCAACAAATGGAGTACCACGTTAATAGTAGTAAAAGATTAAAAAAAAACAGAGAGAAAAAAACAATACCCTAAGACCCTAACCGAAGGAGAGATCTTTGTAGAGGGCACGAATCCCAAAATATCATTCAAAGTAGGAGTTGAATCCAGGCTTTTTCAGATGAATTTGAGCGAAGCTTCCATTTTTGGGAGGGTAGAGGGGTTGGGGCTGTTGTGAACCAAAAATATATTTTAATATTTACTCACAGGTTTACTTATTTGATTTATATTAAATTTTTATTTTTTATTTTTTTCAATCATATTGTGTGTATATGATAGAGGTAAGGTAAGGAGAGGAAGGGACTGATAAAGAGAATAGATAGATGCCCCATTGCCCCTGGCTTGGCCTGGGTGGTGTTTTTGCATTTTGTGCTAAAATGTTCCCAAAACAAAGGACCGTAAGAGAGATGGAGATGAGTGAAGAAGTGGTCCAATGTTTTCTCCATCTAATTCTAATTTATTGCTCTATTAAAGTGCTCCACCCATCTTCTTCCCCCCCTTTCTCTCTCCATAGCCAATGGGACCGCATCTTTTTCTTCCTTTCTTTTTTGTTTTATCTTTTTTTTTTATTATGATGATGAAAATATGCTTTTAATCCACGCGCACCCTCTGGCTTGTCACCTTCACTCAATATTAGCCCACCATTTTATAGCCTTTTTTTTTTTGTTCTTTACTTTCTTTGTGAAATTTTCTTCAAATTCTCATTTCATATATTATTATTATTATTATTATTATTATTATTATTACTATGTTATCTCAGCTTCTTTTTATTATTGTTATTATGTTATTTTTTAGCACAATTTTGCTTGAGAGATAAACTAGCATCAGTATACATTTGATCTATCTGATAAAATAATTATCAATTTCTAGAAATTAGATTTTTTTTCTTATATGGTTTTTGAATTATTTGAGTATTAGTTTACAATATCTTAAAACAATATTAATAATAAATTAATATTTAATATATTATCAATATAAATTTTAATTTTATAAGTGATATTAAGAGATTAATATATGTTTTATTTTTATTTTTAATTAATTCTTTTTTTTTCTCACTATCATCATCTGATTAATTAATATGTCATTGAATTTGATATTTAGATATTATAGATTTGAGAGAGTTTAAGTACATAATGTCATTTTTAATCAGATATGTAATAAGATAAGAGTTTAAAAATAGATTAAGAACTTAAAAAAAAAATTATTTCGTAAATATATCTTAAGAGATATATATTATTTTTTTGTAATTTCATTTAAAATTTTTATTATCAATATATTTGATAATTTTTTTTAATAATATACTATAAAAAGGTTAATAAGAACTCAATTATTCAAAATGTTTCATTTTAGAGTTGTTTTCACTATTTAATCATAATTCCCAAATAGCAAGAACCGGCATTTAAAAAAAAAGGCACTGTCAATATATAAAAAAAGTATAGAATTTGTGATCAAAATTGACCTCACAAGCTTTTTTTTTTTCATCATTTTCCATTTATCCATTTGTATAAGAAAATAAACTTAAAAAACAAATACATTTTTCGTCTTTTTTATTTTTTGGTACATTTCAAAATTATTTTTTTAGATTTAAATTTTTTATTTTTTAGATTTTAAAATTATATTTTAAAAATTTTAATTTTCTAATACTAAAAATCATAAAAATTTAATTTTATAAAAATATTTAAATCTTAATATTAAATATATTAAACTTAATAGTTTTAAATTTTATAAAAATCAATAACATCTGAATAATTAAAAATGAGAGTATTTAATAACAGCTTATGAGCTAAGCCCGCATTAGGCCTTAGGGCCTAAGTATTGGAAAGAAGGCAAAAACGCGCAGGAGGAGGAGAGTGGGGGAATTAGAAAGGGCTTTAATTTTTGTCCGTTTAAAGCAGGTGGTCCTAGGAGGAAGCTTTCTCCCGCCGCTTGCCAAATTTCTCTTACGCTAAGGCCCTCCCCCTACCCCCATTGCCAACGTCATCCTTTCTTGTGCTTTATTTGCTTGTACTTTGCCATCACTCCCAGCGCATGTTAGTGACTTCTCCCGTATTCAGTAGTCACTGACTTGCTTACTTCATCACACATTGCCACTTCCCAGTTCCCACAGTAAAAGACTAAAACCAACGAAACTTCAGCTTCCTATGCCTTACGTAACTTTCAGTAGATCCTCAACAACAGCGAAGATGACGAAATATGCTACTCTGTTTTGTTTTTAACTATTATTTTACACACAAAGCAAGAAAATTGCACGGATGATTGAAGGAGAAGCCCAGAAAAGACGGGGGAGAGATGATTAAAGCCAATGGAAGAAAAGGGTTTGTAAAAAAGATGACCTGCGAGACCCCTGGGTGCACATCTGAGGCAGAGCACACTTTTGATATTGGTTTCTTTTTGAAACTTGTAAATCCTTAGGCTTTATAGGGTGGTCCATTCACTTCACTCATGAACCTTTTGACCCTTTTCCCAATTTCTTTTTAGTGTAATTAAAAATGGACCATCCTACCTAAGCTACTCATAGCTAAATTCAAGTTCTATATATAAAATAGGGTTTCAGTGGCTGGCTGGCTGACCGCTGTGGATAGACAGGGTCGTCTGACCATCATCTGGCTGCATGCAGATGGTTTTTACTTTGTTTTTTCTTCAGTTTTCTTGACCGTGATCAAGGAGTTTTCAGGCATCATCAAACAGGGGAGTTTGTTTTTAAGCTGACAATCAGATGAGTTTTTAATTATTGTTTGGGGCCAAAATGCCAGTTGATTGGTGATGAGTATGGTATGTCATTATGGGTGGTAGGGTCTTTTTGTTGAGAATGAAGCGTACTTTGGGACAGTACGGTGCTTGGAGTATGGGGTTTGGCATCAAGCTCTTCTAATCTTGGACCATATGTAAAAAAGAAACCCAATCGATAGGCTTCTCTTGGTTTCAATATGATCATCTACTCCAAAAATCCTTGACTTTGATTGAGAAATGAATCCTTTAAACACATAATAATCTTTCAACTTGTTTAAGGACTGATATCATTTTGAATATTTCAGATCAATTTGTTATAATTCGATGGATTTTAATGAACATTTGATGAGAAGTGTCTCTCTAGATTTTAGAATGAACATACATTGTTGTCTCCATAATATTAAATAGAACGAAAGATCTGGTTTGAAAATGATGCCAAGCTTTGTGCTTTAAATTTTAAATTAATTCTACATTCTTTCTTACAACTATATATTATAAGTAGTCGACCTGTTTTCAGACCAAAATTTTCGGCTCATGTAACTTGCACAATGAACATTCAAATAAACGATTGGGCAGAGAAAAAGCCGACATTCAAATTATGAAGAAAAGACTTGAGCTATTTGTGAAGCTATTTATGTGTTGTTGACTGGTAACCAATCAGATCGATGACCAGGTTTTTTAAGGCTATTGTATTGTATTTTCAAATTCGGAGAGGAACATGAAGCATTGGCAGCCGACATTAGTCAATTCTTGCAGCAGTAAGAACAGATTGGCTTTGGACCTCGGCCATATTTTCCTTTTCCGATCGATGGTACATTTTGTAGTAATTTATACCTTGGAAATGGGTAGGGTCGAGCTTCGAAATCGGACCTCCACAGTCACCACAATTGCAATACATGCTCATTTAATATTCAAGGAGGAGAAAATTTTAGCATGACCTATCACACATTCATTTTCCACCTTATATGTTTTGAAACATACCTTCTTGCACAATTAAGCCAATGGGAGACATTCGTCGCTAGAGAAAGGTTAGCTGAATAAGACTAATCTACATCCTCTAATTAATTCAAGTTGTTGAACTAGTGAAACCCATCCTACAATCTTTCCAAAAGATTAAGTATTATTTGATTATATTTAAGTCCTCCAAATAATGGTAATATAAACATAAAAAAAAAGTTATTTTCGATATTCCTTTTAATTAGCTCTTTGTTTTTTTTTTTAGAATTAAGGTATTTCTTAACATCGTAAATTGATATTCTCCTCCCTTGACAATCTTGAAAATAAAAATTAAATATTTAAGGTGCATTTAGAAACATGGTGAAAATTCCTTTCCAATTTGTAATACCAAAATGACATAAGATTCATATGGACTTGGTATTATAAAAACATTCAAACATTGTATGAAAGGGGTTTCTACCAAACTTCAAAATGCAACCTTAGTCTAAAATAATACTTTAAGTATCACTTTTTAAATTTGAATGGACATGTTTTGAAGGGTTTAGAAGAATTGAAAGAGCCAACTAAAAAAAAAAAGGTATTGACAAAATAGAGCACAAATTATATGTATTATAAATTAATTTAACTGTTCTTTTGTTATTATCACTACTTTATTAATCAATTTGCATAGTGTATTATGACCTAAAATTATCATTGGACCACATGGTCAAAATATGACTTAGGAGTGTGAAGTGTTAACTTTTCATGCTTTCAAGTGTAACCATATCTTTATTCCTTTCTTTTTTATTCCCATTTTTGCTGGGAACAATTGCAATTTGTCACGACAAGTGTGTTCTTATAATAGACCACAAAGACGGCCCACATTGAAAAAATTTTTATTTTGTTCTTTGGTGGGCCAATTTATGAATTATTATACGAGTTAAATAAGGTTGTTTTTGTTTTCGTGGCCGTTAAAAACAACATCTAAATCTTCACCCCATTTTTGTTCTTGGAATGGACTGTCATGGATCATACTTTCTCTAAACAACCTTGTCATCCATCAAACCCCAACGGTCTTGATCAATCTGCTGTCGAGAGATCAAGTATAAATATATATATATGCAAAAAAAAAAAAAAATTTTTTTTTTGAGGGGGCAGGCAGTTAAGAGACAAAAAAGAACTTAACCCCCTTCTTTAAAAATGTAAGTGAAAGGGAAAGTGAAAGATGGGATTTGGTATCTCAATCCAAAGACTGTTTTTCTATTGTGTGTCTTTAGAAAACGTAGCTAGTTCCATCTAGGGCTTAATTTGTTTCTTCAATGATGCAA